TTGCATGCATTTTACAAGTCTCCACAAATTACACCGAGTCAGAACGGCGAGCTATAACGGAAGCCGCTCGAACTTTTTTGGTCATCCGTTGCACTCTTCCATTGAATGCGCTATACCTGTTACAACTACCATTTCCTAAATACATAAATTTACGTGTTAGAAATAGCGCACCTCTCAGAAGCCACTTCATCCATTCGAGACAAAGTTCAGTCAGTAAAACAATAGGTACGTACAAGTATATAATCATTCTATTTATTTTGGCATTGGTTTGGTAAAAGCCATGTTAAGTAACAGAAGAAGAAAGCAACCAATCAATCGAAATTTAAATGTGTGCCAAAATATTACAAGTTTGAGGATACTTTGATTTTCAAAGCTGAGTTGTCGAGTTGCCATTCCATCTTGCCTGCTCATCTGTGTCGTCAGGCATGTGTGACAATCTGGAGATTTTTCCCTAAAAATGGGCACGCATAAACCATAAAAATGTTCCTCTTTAGGGCGTAAAACATCTGACCACATAATCAATTTGACACAGAAATACCTAAACAGCAAGTGTGCGTTATTCTTCATTAAATCTTCTTATCTCATAATAAATTCTAATGTAGCGACTGTAAATGGAAAGCAGTGTGTTGACAAAGTTCAATAACGCGGACCTTTTTGCCAATAACTGTGAAATTAACCATATAAGGTCAAAACTATTCCACACCTTAGGCGGAGCATGAAATAAATTATCAAACACCAATTCAGAAGATTTTAGTCATTTTACTGAAAAGATGACCCGTTTTGTATTGTTCACCCGACTAATTTCTTTACATTGTAAGCAATGCTGATTCTGCGAGAAAATGGAGGAAAGCAACCACTGGTGGTAAAAAAGTGTCTAGAAGATTTTGTGCAGCTAAAAAGAGCAGTGCACCTGTCGCCTATAGGCACTTCTTCCTTTCAATTCCTCACCATCGGTGCGTGGCGGAGATTGGCGGGAGGTAGCGGAGTTGGCGGCCTGAGCTTGACCAATGGTGCGCCCACTGCCAGCACTGAAGAGAGTTTGCCAAGTGCTTCGGCCTAATTGGATCAAACCATCGCCGAAGTAGAAGAAAATATCACCAACGCTTTGAACACCTCCCCAAATGAGGCCCAGCACACGAGAAAGCACATCTAGAGAGCACATTATAAAGTGGTCAGTTTCACCCTTGATTGCTACGCCTAATTTAAATCTGCCCGCTGCAAAAGTGAGCAATTTATTGCTATTTTCTAGACGTTATTAGGGTTTGTGAAGAAAAGGTCTCACTGGCAGTAGGGTAATCTCTCTATAAATTTGTTGCAAATAACTTTACCAGCACAAAAATTTCGCGAATGATTTAGTTCAGTTCAAATGCTTTAAGTGCAGCCAGATGAAAATGATTTCTTTAACAAATATAAAGACCTGGTACGGAAATTCTTACTTATCTGTGGATAACTAAGGTCCCTAAGCCGCTCATAAATGAAGATGTTTATTAGTATAAAGCTAGAAAATGTTGATAACTGACAAGAAATATTAAAACTCACCGTGAACCAGCTATGCCAGAAATCCAGTGAAAGAAGTTGAAAATGAGACATGTATCACCACAAGTTGCGCAAGTTAAACATAGAATGTAAATAAAACCTCCACTTCTACTTCACTTAGTTCTGCTTTGAATAAGAGACGGATGGTATCGTTAGATACACTAGATGGATGGGTTTTGATAAAGTTTTTTTATGGACATAGGCATGTATGTATCATTCAAGTTGACATTGTACACCCCCATTAAGAATTAAAGCAGGGATTTTAAGAAAAGCCTGGTGTTTACGTTTAACTGAAGGAATTAATGGTATTCTTATAGTGTTCTTAACTATTATCGCAATTTGATAAGTGATGCACCAACATAAAGAAGGGGTAGCTTTCAGACTTGACTTGTAACTTAGTAATTAAAGCTTTTATCAAACGTGACATCAGCTGACTGTTCAGGCACATTAGAGCTGCATACTCTTTGAGTATCCTGCGAAACCATCGTCAGTAATGGAATTGTATTTTCCGCAATGCAGAATGAGGACAGCAGAAGGCCAGAGACCGAGTTCGCGCAAAGTTTTGGTGGTTTCATCTTCGGGGGAGAAATGTCTTGGCGGATTGGGGCGCGTCTGGCGGAAGGTGAAGCCAGAGGCGAGAACTGGGGCAAAAGAGGCACGCACAACATCGCTGAGAGGCGCCACCGCTAAAGCCCCTTCAGCCTCCTTGCCTTGCACCCGGGACCTTATGTACTGACGCACCTCTGAGCCAAGGTGGGCCTCGGCTGCGAACACGCCGATCATGTGAGAGCCATCAGGCAGCCGTAGTTGAAGGCGCACCTTTAGAAGGGGGACAGTGCACTCATTACAACATTGAGTGATGATTCTTTTTAATGTTTTAATTAATGAAGTCGATTAATTTCCCCCATTTTTATTCTACGCACAGGCCAGGGACAAGAAAGCAAGTGATCATGGCAAACGCTAAGAGGTGGAAGACTACCTCGTTTGGATCAACAGCACCAGTGGAAGTAGTGGTGGACTTGGGAGCGGCTACTTTCGGTGCAGAAACCCCGAGACGATCACGCCGGTCCAGTTCAATTTGGGCGAGGATGCGCTGACGGGCAGCTTGCTTCTCGGCTTTTTCGCGTTTCTGTTCCTCTAGGCGCTCACGAATCTCCTGTTCCTGCTTGCGGCGCTAAAGGAGGAATAAAATCGGGGTTTAAGATGATCAGTACACAGTTCCCAGAGCACTTAATGTAATAAAATGAGCACACAAAAAGTAAATTTGGCCGATTAAAAACAATTATTGACTCGGAAAGTGTGTTCTGGGATTTTTTAAATGATTTGGTAAGTATAATTTAGTCGAATGACACTAGGCCATGATTACCACATTTTAATGAATAATCTTAGCATTGAGAAGATATTATGAAACCACTACGAAGATTAGGCCCGAGTTCCAGGAGATATACATAAAGTAGAAGTCAAATTCCTAACTACTAATCTACCAATTAAAAAACTGAGGTCAACCACTTATCTCTATAATATATTAAAACATCTCAATAGAAAGTGCGCCAAAACCTATTGACAAAATGTATACCTATTTGTATTTTACATGAAAGCGTTAAAAGTGCCCGCTTAGATACAAAATATGAATAAATTATAGTTGTATTGAGAACGAAACGATTTACTCGATACCTTAAACTCAACCATATCGCGTCCAAGATTGCGCCGCTTCAACTCTGACTCATGAGTTTCCTGAAAGACTTTTACAGCCTTCGCCTGTCTTTTTGCCTCCAATAGTTCACGAGCATCCTGAATTCGCTCGTTCAGGCTGTTACCTGATCGATGAGACGGGACGGAGGCGTCAGCCTCCGACAAAGCTGAAGACGGAATTTCCTCAGGTGAAAGGTTCCTCTCTACTTGATCTGTCTCCTGACATCGTTGATGACCCAAATCTACGCACTCCGAGTTGCTACCCGGTCGAGGCGACGAGGTCAAAGGCGAAGCAGCAACGTCAGCCTCTGGTAATGAGGCAGGCGGGTCTCCCTCATACAATTCCAATACTTCTGCCTTTTCCGATCGTGGAAGAGAATGCTCAGCACTCGCGGTCAAATTGCCGATCGCCTGGGGGTACGAGGACGGAGGCGAAGCAGAAGCGCAAGCTTTGGGCGAAGTGTCATATGGAGCTCCAACAGGCGCCAATTCCTGCACTCCCATAATCGCATTCCTTGTTTGTTTGGTGGTTTCTTTATGATTGAATCAGGAAAATGGTGTACTTAGGAGCAAATAAAATTTAATGATAGTAAATACATCATGTAGTTCCCTTAAAATTAACTCACCAAACGATGCGATGTTCTCAGCAAGCCACAATGCAATCCGGTCTGCAGAAAAATCTGCGGTTTTCACACTCAAAACCAAACCTGATGGTGAGATAATATGGATGCAGGGTAGAGAAGGGACTTCGTAAACGGATGCGAATTGGTGGTAAGGTACTGATCCTGATTGTAGTTGCAAACCTGTCACAGGAACGAGTTGCACGCAAATAATTCGCATGGACAAACTAACACCCCTGCAGGTTTGAACAAATATGACAGGAATATGCTGATTTAACCTCAAAAAATAAACATCCAACCAGTTTCCAAATATAGTACAACAGAAAATATTTCGACAGACGAGGTCCCTCTCATTTTGGATATACTGGTTGTAGACTTACAGATCACATCCTGACAATGCATAACAACGTCTTCGGCATTGAGAGCAGCACAAGATTCACTAGAAATATCTTCGCTATCTGAACGTAAATGGAAGGAGAAAACACACCAAAAAAAACCTACCTTTAGAAAAAACCAATAAAAGTTTTTGGGCATTCTTCACTTCCTTGATACATTGACCTATGTCGCCAGAATACCAATTCATCGCAGCTTCTAGTGATTGTGCGAAAACAGGTGTAAAACCTAATCTACACATGCAAAAGCAGGCCCACTATTAAACAACTGTAATTGCTAATACGTAAGACCACTAAAAATATTAATAATATTGACAGAAAAACGGAAAAAAAGAAAGAAATACGAATCGTCGCTACAAAACAGGAATGCAAATAAAATACCGTGTAAATTAGTGGTATTAGCTGGAGGACTTTACTGAATTAGACATCAGTAGTAGAGTCAGCAAGTCAGGAGATGAATAATGTATTGTAAGATGAAAAAAATAAACAAGAATCCCTACCCTATCCTCCCCAATGCGACGAGAGACGATATGAAACACAGCTCACCGCTTTAAAACAAGTAAATTCAGACGAATCGCATAAAACAAGACAAAAATAGTGCAACATTCATTACAAATATTCAAAAAATCAAAAACTAAAAATTAAAGCCTTATAATGACGTAGTTGGGCACTTTTCAGAAGTATGTGTTGAGAAATAAAAATTTCAAATGCATAAGAGTTAGTTGATTTAATGTATGATAAGCAAAAACTAATGCTCATAGCAATAAAGTGAAGCACAATGACAACTGACGAAAAACTATTTTCTAATAAGCTTTAAACCAGCGCACAAGAATAAAGTAATAAAAACTACGGAACTCTTTTTCTAGGTAACTAATTTAAGGTTGCCTTTTTTATACTTGCAATACAATATTTTTTTAACTGAAATGTTTCTTGCAAGGCATTAAAAATTATGCTCAAACTTTGAACGAATCTATTTTTACTCAAAGCGGTTGCCCGTTTATATATATAAATGTTTATTTTAGGTAAATAAGCAAAAAAAGATTGCTTTTAATCATTGATTTTGGTAATTCTGCACGCAGTTGTACATCTTCAGTAGCAAATAATTGTGTAATTTTAAACTCCGCCCTTTCAGATCATTTGTTTGCCTAATTTTTTTTTTTCAAATTTAGGCTATGTATTTCAAGTAGTGATCATAGTAATAATGACGCCGTGCGTTTCGTGCGCCCCCATTCGCACGGCGCCCTCTTTGTTCCTTCTGCCTCCGCCGTCGTTGGAATGCTCAGGCTTGTATGTTCTCGTGAGGTTCTTATAGTGTATCCATATTAGGTGTCAGTGAAACTCTTTCCGAGACCCGTAAATTTTCGGCTCTCTCGCAGTTTATCTACCGGTGAGAAGGATCTTGTTGTTATTGGTTCTGGTCCTGGCGGTTATGTGGCGGCTATCAAGGCAGCGCAGTTGGGTATGAAGGTTAGTTATCCTGCCTTAGTTTTTAATCTTTGGCTAGACTGTTTGTGTCGAAAAGTATCCTACTTTCGGTGGCACTTGTCTTAACGTTGGTTGCATCCCGAGCAAATCCCTTTTGGGTAGTTCTCATTACTACGAAATGTGCAAATCGAATCATTTGGAATCCCGGGGCATTGAATTAAGTGAGGTTAAACTGAATCTAGCGGGCATGATGGGTGCTAAAACAAAGACCGTCGCTACACTCACTGGCGGTATTGTCCACCTCTTTAAAGCTAATCAGGTAAATTTAATTTCTTTTGCAGACGTATATTCCGATACACTAATCTTAATACCTGTAGGTTGAAAGCCTTCAAGGTGTCGGGTCAATAACAAAGCCCAATGAAGTTACTGTCACCAAACCTGATGGGTCTACCGAAGTTATTAACACCAGAAACATTCTAATCGCTACTGGGAGTGACGTCATCCAATTCCCTGGAATAACCATTGATGAGAAACATTTCATTACGAGCACCGGGGCTCTGTCTTTGGATAGAGTGCCCGAACATTTGGTCATAATTGGCGCTGGTGTAATTGGAGTCGAAATGGGCTCTGTCTGGAAGCGCCTAGGCGCCAAGGTCAGTACATTTTTTAGATTTCCAGTTTTGCGCAATCTTTTTAACTAACTTGCTGATGTTTTTGAAGGTGACTATTGTCGAATACCTTGGTCACATTGGCGGCGTGGGGATTGACATGGAGGTCAGCAAACTATTTGGAAAAATACTCACAAAACAGGGTCTGAATTTCAAATTGAGTACTAAGGTCATATCGGCTGAGCTCAATGGCAATTTCATTTCTGTGGCTGTTGAAGGTGTCAAGGATGGAAAGGCTGATACAGTATGTTCCGCAAACACATGTTTCTTTTTAAACGTCGCTAAATTTGTGTGTTCTAGATTTCTTGTGATACCCTGCTAGTCGCTATCGGCCGTTGTCCATACACAACTGGATTGGGTCTGGAAAATGTTGGAATCGAATGCGACAAATACGGTCGTGTACCTGTTAACAACCGATTTCAAACGAACGTTCCAAAGTGAGTTTATTCTGTCATCAGTTCCCGATCGCGTTGTCAGTTTATCTAGCTCTGCCATCGGCCCTACATTTCGATTGTTCGAATCTTTGCTTTTTACTGATACAACTTGTATCTTTAAGTCTTGTGTTAAGTCGATTTTTTCCTGTAGCATTTACGCCATCGGTGATGTGATCGAGGGCCCAATGTTGGCTCACAAAGCTGAAGATGAAGGCATACTATGCGTTGAGGGCATGTGCGGTGGTAATGTTCATATCGACTACAATTGCATTCCCAGCGTTATTTACACCAACCCAGAATGTGCTTGGGTAGGGAAGTCTGAGGAGGATTTAAAGAGTGCTGGGATTGACTACAAGTAAGCATTCGTTTGGTTTAAAGCCCAGCATCAATTGTGTCTGTGATTAACACCTTTGTGTCTTAAGACTCGCAATTGCACTACTGCTTTTGTCGTTTTTTTTGTAGTGTTGCACTAGTAGGAGCATTCGCAAATCTTAGTTCTATGTCTTTGTAGTTATTTGTGGTATGGCTGGCATTTTTCATAGTGGTTCCTAGGGAATATGTGCTGAATTTATGGTCTGTGTATGATCTAGTTGACTAAGAAGTGGTGTATAACTATTGAGTCACACATATTATGTGCTTATCAACGCTGTTTTTTAGGGTAGGCAGGTTCCCAATTTCTGCAAATTCTCGTGCCAGATGCAACCATGAATCCGATGGCATTTTCAAGATACTGGCCGACAAGGCTACGGACAAGATCCTCGGTGTCCACCTTCTTGGTCCACAGGCTGGTGAACTCATCAACGAAGGTGTACTCGCTATGGAGTATGGGGCCTCGGCTGAGGATGTTGCTCGTGTCTGTCATGCTCACCCGGTCTGTTTTTCCCTTCTTATTTGTTGATATTTTGGCGGGTTGTGTGATCAGATTAGTAGTTTGGTTTTTCGACTTCACTGCCATTCAAGTATTTGTTTACTGCTGGAACGATGGTTTTCTACTATTCCGTGTAGTTACTCCATTCAAATACTTTGGCCTTTGTAGACCGTCAGCGAGGCACTTCGGGAAGCTAATCTTGCAGCTTCTTTTGGAAAAGCAATCAATTGTTAAACCGCCTACTGCAATGCCTACAATGCTTTAAAGGCTAGCATGTTTAGTCAACTCGGTGGAGCACTTTTTGCCTTTGCTTCTTTTCTATGTATTTGAGTTTAGTCCATTAAAAAAATTAAAAAACCGACATCCAGTTTTTTCCTTTAAGTATCTTCCTCCTTGGGCCATGATTGCTTGATTTGTTTAAACTGAAGCTTAATCAGGCTGAAATGATGCACATTTCTTGACGGAATATCCATTAATTTCCCTATTTTCGAGACAGTTGGATTTCCTGTCCAACAAATAGCTAAGAGTAGTAGTGATAAAGTATTTTATTTGAGAGTACTGAGAATTTGTCGCGGATGTGGTGTCTCCGTGGTGTCATCTTTTGCTCGGGTGGTGCCTGTTTGCTAGAGTCACGTACGTGGACCGGTGTTTGAGGTCGTTGCGCGATCTCCACTCGGCGTTATCTTCCTCATCGGTCTCTACTAAGAATATGTATTTGAGGCTAGAAACCCTATTCGTGCCGTCTGGGTTTCGTTCTTATGAGCTTACCTTTTCCTGTCCTCTTCATCCAGCTGGACACTATGCGAGTGTTGTACCTTGGAATCTTACTTTTGAGAGAGGTGTAGAACTAAGGCGACAGAAATGCAGTGTTGAACCGGTCGAAAATTCCAAAGTTGGTTATAATGCGAACAATGCGCAAATAGCTTAGATGCAAAATTTAGCGTGGGAGTAAGCTCCGTTACTAATTTTACTCGTGGTTGCATTTAACCTGCAACGATGCCCATGGTCTCAAGACTAAAAAAAACCCTAACTTTACAGAAATATTAGTAGAGTAATAGATACGTGGTCCAACAATTTCAACGTGTTTGCGAAACGTTTGTCAGTACTGTGGCTTATCGTAAGAACAAAGACATGGTAAAAAACCCTGGGAACGGAAACCCACCTGATCAGTATGCATTAGTTTCATGCTCTGAAACACGGAAAGCAGCAAATTTTTGTTTTGCGCGATGTAAATGTTAAAAGTAAATCGATTGACAAAACAATGACATTTATTTTGTCATCCGCAATAGTTGGGGAATTGGATTTATTGGTATTCTCTGTGATTTTAGAATAGAGTCAAATGCAAATTTAGAAATGCGCAACGGTAATTAACTTGCCAGGGCTCTAGAACATCATAGCCAGTCGCGGATATTTTAGCAACGATAATAATTAGTGAGATCCAATTACCAGTAATTAGTACCTCTCAAAGTAGATTTAATTTGGGGGGTCTCAATACCTTGAACATTAGTAGTGTTCCTTCATTATATCACATACCACGACATGAGGGCCTGTAATAAACCTTAATCCTGCGTCTTCTGATCCAACTGGAAGAATACGTGTGAAGGAATTCTGATACCTGTTTAACTCCCGTGCATTGAAGGGTAGGTAAAGAAGTTCTCAACTAACCTCCTCTTGAGTCATATTAGCGAGTTCTACAGCCAGATTGTAGTCATCGAGGTCGTTATCCAATTGGTCCTGGTAATCCAAACATTGGAGCATAAGATCGGGCAGATGGATTTCAACCAAATGCCGCAAAATCACTGCAGCCTGCTTCTTGGCGCCTTTAGTCGTGCTGGGCGTCATTTGCAGCTTCACGTAAATGTGTTCTACGGCCATATGTACGCAGGTCAGCAGTTGCTTCAGCTTATTCAGCTCACTCCTCACTGCGCTCATCTTTATCTTCAGTGAATCCATGCGGGCCTGAGCCGTAGTTCGGGTCAAGTTCCTTCCAATTTTAAAGCATTATGAAAGAAAGTACCAACTTCTAACATGTTATAAGAGGTAGTCTTCAATCACAACTGAAACTGTGGTAAAACTTTGATACAAGCTACCCTACGAAATATTTGGTCGGATGACAATTTGTGTGAACGTTATTTTCCATCACGCAAAAGGGTGATCAAGAATGTGGGCGAATAATTGGAAAAATGACTTTAGGTGGGACTTAAGCGAAAAGGCCTTCACCAATACCCTTATAGGCTCCGTTAACGTGTGCAAGTTAATGCCATCGGAGAGTAATGAACGTGGCCAATTGATGATGTGTCCATTTTTCGTAAGACACGTTCTAGGTGATGTTTATAAGGATACTGCGCAGGATCGCAGGATATACCGCAGTTTCTGGATGGAAAGCTCTAGCATAAAACTCTAAAATCACTTACCCAGATATCTTAGCGCTACCAATGCTTCGCAGTTCTTGAAAGATTTCCTTCAGTCGGACATTTTGGGACCTCAACAACTTGACTCTTATTTCGACTTCTCCGGAGAGTTTGCGCAGACTGGCTGTGGATTGCTCGAACTGAATGAACAGTTTCTCAATTTCGCTGTTGTTGGAAACGCCAGTCACCGCCTTCAAATTGCTATGGATTGCTTCGAGTTGTGTCAGTATGCCTTGGCTGTCTGATATAGTTGGATCTTCACCCGTCAACTGGTCGTCCTCCTATTATTTACCACTTGAATTTCACATTTTCTCAAGCTTACATATTTTAAAAGTACATCTTTCAGCCTTACAAATCCTGTATTTGTACATACCACACATCGAAATAAAGATTTGTTTACCTAAATTTATCTTTACATTAAACTCCATCTGTGAAGTAATAAGAAATAGACTCGACTTTCACGGTATTGAAGAACAGTTTGGTCGGCTAATGGAGATGTGCGCTTATTTAGTTGATACATTTACTCATCGATATGTGCCACTGAAAAAGGTTGTTTTCGCGGGGTTTAGCTAAATAGTGAGCATTCTGTTTTAACTCGCCACTGCATAACCTATACCACAGCTTGCAGTTGTATTGAGCGCATCACCTATGCAGGTAACTGTGTGGTGGACCGAATGGTGTGAAGTGCGTCGGCCTCTTTTCGACCAAGGACAATGCGTTCTGGCTTAGTTTTAAAAGTAATCACGATGCATATGTTCATCCAAACATCGGTTCCCAATTCATTTGCCTAATCCAACTGGCGTCTTATCATAAGGTTACCAGTGATACTGTTACTTAGTCATAGGAGGATACATTTACATACACTACGCCTATTTTTTATAACTTTCCCTCATTAGTCTCGTCATTCGTCAATCAAAAATGACTGGCGTTTTTTGAGAGCATTAAACTACTTAAACTTGTACATACGTCGGATTTTTCAATATCATTGTCAATCTAAAACAAAAGAAATAACAAACCATTAAGTCATGTAATTAAGCTCAAAATATTACAAGTGGAACGTGGGAAAATAGGATTCAAGTTAAATCGTCTTTGACATAGTGCTGAAGCTATACGAGCTGCATACAACGGCAAATACCATATCCACTAGTATCTATACCCATTCTTCAGTTATATTATTGACAATAAGAAGGAACTATTAAATAACTTAACCAGGAGAGCCTTGGTGGGGATGGGTTGCTCCTTCAAGAGGTTTAATGTCCGTTTCATGTTGAATAGCTCAAGCTCCTGCCTCTTTTGGTGCGCAAACAACAGTTGTTCGTGTTCTTTCAGCTCGACCAGCGCCTTGTCCCTAAGACGAACGGCCTCAACACTGCTCTCCTTCAGTTCTGTCAGCTTCGCGCTGCACTGGCGGATCTCAGCTGCCATGGACTCTAGTGTAATGGTGTAAGTTGAACTCTCCTGTGCATAAACAACAACCCCAAATATTTAATAACTTTAAAAAATAGGGAGCGTGAACTTAAAAATTGCTAGACACATTTGTCTATTTTGTAGCTAATCACATTAGTGTAAGCTGAACAACAAAGTAGATTTAGCAACTGAGTGCCCTGAAATGTAGGAGGCGTTCATTTCAACAGTTTGGTAAATTAAGACAAATGTAGCAAGAGAAACAACTTACGCCCATCAATTTGTCCCGAATGGCCTCATAGGTATGCTTTATGTGAATTGTCTCAGCCATCTTCGTGCTCGTTTTATCCAATTTATTTTCCATGGTCCGAATAAGTTGAGCCAGATTTATTTCTTGCTCAGCGAAATAAGAGCCCTTGCCCATTCGATTCCTGATCGCATTCACTTCTGACTCCACTTCGGCCAGCTTCCTCATTTTAGTACTAGGCGAAAATTCCCTCTTAAAGCAACTGAACACGTAATTTCGTACATAAATAAGGTCTAGAGGTTAATCAGAGTTATCAGAGGAGCGTTCCACTAATCTTTCGCTCCCATAAGTTGTACCTGAAGTATCTCTCTGTGAAATCTATATTTGTTAACATCGTTTAAAGTCCCTAAGCGTAAACTGCTTCGAATGGTCAGCATTTCAAATTATAGTCGCATTGTTTATTTTCCAAAGGCGTCTCTAGTATCAGTCCCAATGTTTTTCTTCAAATTAAGGTAAATGATTAAAAGTGACCCACATCGTTTGATAGCGAAGAGCATTTAGTGTATTCAATTTGCTTGAAACCTCATAATCCATTTCTGCAATAGCTTTCTATTTAATAAAACTATTATTTTGTCAGTATACCTCTGCCGGTAGACTTGTCATTTGCATGAGGTTATCTTTATTCTTTTGAAATGCCTGATCCATTATCAACTCGGATGTCTGTAAGGTGTAAAACCATGCTAATGATTTATTTAAAAAATCTGTGGAAACAAAACTTAAGAGCCCTTGCATCCAAATGTTCGTTGTACTCATGACGGAGATCTTGGATTTCGTTTCGAAGCGAGTAGATCTTGGCCTTTGCTTCCTCAATGTAACGTACTGAGGTTTCGTGATAGGCTTTAGAATCCCCGTCTAACAGAAAATAAGATGATTACAACGAATGAGTCCTCCGAGAAATTCTCAAAATACCGCTCAGAATTGATACCTAAGTTACAATTAATAGAGTTCTTGCTTTTTTGATAGAGGTAGCCTATTATTTGTACAAACTTTTAAATAAGACTGGTGGTAGGCTTGGGCTATAAGGAAACGGCAGTTTTACCCAGATGCCTAAGCTTCGCTTTCATATCCTCAAGCTTCTCCACGGAAAACTGCTTCTTGGTGAGTGTTACCATTAGGATGACAAAGTTTGGAGATTTTCTAAAATCCTAAAATCAGATTTGAAATGCCCAAAGTAGAGTGGTCGATACATTGATCATTTTGAATTCAGATCACGCTTCCACTTCTTCATTTTAAAAGGTATAATGTATCACTACAATTTTATCTCCATAAAAAATCAGGTCGAGCTGTGGCTTAACTTTACGCGGACGAAGTGCAACACTTTTTCTTTAGAAATTTACATTTCAAGTACCCAGAGAATATGAAAGCATTGAAAATTTAGGAACCGATTCCTACCAGTGAACGCGGATTCAACATTTCTTGCCTAGTTTATGGGACTAAAAAATTTTAAAAATTGGCATGGACATTTTTGTTTCTCGTAAATAACCAAGTAGGGCCATGTTTGAATAAGTGGTCACACGGGTAGTGAAATGCAATTTGCCAAAATCCATGTCTTCAAAATTCTATGGTTTAAAAGTTACCTATAAAAAGGGATGAGTAATTTTAACATGTTCGACTGTAATGCTATTTCTCCCTCTGTTGCAGAGCCAAGCAATTAGCTTACCCCTTTTTGAACGTATCTTCTTGTGTCATGCATTTCTTTTAGTGTCCTAGCCGTGACAGAGTACAACATTTAGTTTTGAATCTCAGTACCTATGCCTGTGCAGTTCTGCAAATATATAAGATTCAATAAGGGTCGATAAAGTAACCTGTAGAAGGAAAGAAAGTTGAGAGAAAATGAGTGGTTATAAGGTTAGGTTCATTAAATGTAAACTCACATACATGTAATGATTACGGTATGCATACAATTATGGTGATTATAGGACCAATATTTCGTGGCTTTTACATACTTTAATAGCACTTGCATAAAATACAAATATAATAGGACGAGTGGATGTGGGGAACCGGGAGCCGGATATATGGATTTAAACTATGGTGATGCTATTACAAGCATGAGCAATACATCGTTTCGAAGGACGCATGAAGTCCGAGACAGGAAATTATGACATTATCAACTAAAGAGATGCGTATAAATTTGTCTTGCCAGCAGATTTCCCAATTTTTTTCCAACTAAACCTCGAGTAGAGATACTGAGTTATGAATTCTCTGTGTATAATTTAGGAATCAGGGCAATATGTCAAAGTGTAGATCTGCTTTTGAAGTAAACCGGCTATTTCCTACGTTAACAAGTGGCCAACAAACAGTTGTATACTTCAGTGGGCTCTACCCATCAGCAAAATCCCAATAGACCCAAATGGAACGCAAACAGGCATCAAAGGAAGGGGGTGGGATCACTGAGCAAAATCCAACTCGTGTAATTTCTACCTAAGAGTAGTCATGAGACCTCACTAGCCATTGGTTGCTATACCTCTAAACATTTGTTAAAGCTAATATCTTGAGCAATATGGTCCCTTCAAGTTAAAAAGTCTTCAAATAAAATCTAATCAGCCCTTATTAGAGCGAAGGAGATGCAGCACCCACATATCTCTGGTACATGCGGGTACAGGAGGCGTTATGCAATTGCGATAATTTACTAAACTATTTATTTTGGAAGTTGGTAGTGCACTTTACCAAGTGACACTTAGAAATTTTCAAGTCCACCAATAGCACATTGCAGATGCCTAGAGTTAAAATTCGCCACAAATAAACGTACTTATAACCCCGGCCAGTTTCGCTGAAATCATTTAACAAGCAAATTCCCAAAAGAAGAACATAAATGTTCTGTTCTTTAAATTATTTGTCAATGCGAAATGCCTTTAAATAGTAGATCATAAGAATGTCTCCAACCAATGAGAAACAAAACAAATGGCTTACGCAGTGGCCTCCTTGTCATGGGTCTTCCATTCAAAAACATGGTATTCGAATTAATTTGTAACCCTAATCTATTACTTAAAGGAATTGAAGCCACGGAGTGCTAGTAAAAATAAATGTAGCCATGAAATGAAAATTCTCCCTACTAAAATATGCGATAGCGTCCTATCCTCTTTTGATACCAGAACTGCCTTTTACCCATACCCTCAGAATAGACTGTGAATATGTTCAGATATTTTCGCAAAAATTAGCACGACTCTAGGCAACCAAACTATTGTGAAACTTGCTTACACTTGCCGGATCAATCCTTCCTATGTTAAATGTTTAGCAATCTTTTATCAATCACTCATTCAAAGAATTTGAAAATAGCTGGCCGTATCGAAAATGTCTTAACATTTATAAAATAAGCATTGAGTAGTTCTTTGCTTTCATCTGTAGTGCCACAAACGCACTGCCATGGAGGTACACAAGTGGGAGTGTCGGTTTCATACCACCTTGATGTGGACATGGGTTATAAATGAATGCTATTATAAGCACAAGAAAGGTGGACAGATTGCCATTTAACAAAAATTACCAAAGCAGAATGCTGATTTACGTCGAAGAGGTTCTTTTTACAACCTTAATTACTGGCAAATGTAGCTTGTTTCAAAAAGCTTGAATTTGTGAAACTCAGAAAAACCAATAAGTAAACAGTGTGTTTGGTTGGTTCCAGCAGATGAGAAAGTTGAGTAAATTTCGAGTACCGTAATTTTTACTAGGACGTTTAAGGCAAATAAATTCAAAAATAATAGAAATGATATAAATTATGAAGTAGTTTTCAGGAAATAACAAGAATAGAGATAGAGTTAAATGTGAATTTCATGCACCGTGACTGATTGTATAAAGTGTGCCACAAGCATAGTGAAACCGGTGATCCCATATTTAATGCAGAGGAGTTAAAATTTGTTCTGTGTCAAGGTCACAGCTTTAAAATGTCTCGCGAACCGGTGTCTTGTGTTTGAAGTGCATCTCTTTTCTTTTGATAAGGGTAGACACCAGCCACTACTTCTGCCGGGTACCTGAATTCAATTTCCATCCACAAATTGTAAAACTTTGTAGTGAGTTTATAGGCGGTTAGAAATGTCTGAAGGTGACTGGTAGAACAACGTGGCAAATTACCGGTCATTGAGGCGCTAAATTGTTGGAATGTACTCCTCTTGCTAACCAAGTATATCCACCAAAAGTTAGACGAGACAGCAAAAATTTTAAATTTAGCTCATGAAATAAAGTGCCGAAATTATACACATCAGGCCAAATTTTACCGTGACAGGTTAACGTATCCGCAAATGTCCCGACAACAACGTCCGTAAGCTATATTTATCTGAATGACAGGCGTGACAGATGGCAAGCGGTATACGACTAACAAATGGAAAGTGTCAACTGATTCGTTACACGCCCATTTTTTACCATTATAATGTACAAAATCGCAAAGGGTTAACGCTTATATCAACCAAACAATTTCTTTTAACGAGGGTGTGTGAGATGATATTGCTTTTTTGTCCAAAATTATATCTTCAAACTATCCGCGAGTTACATGGCAATACTAAGTGGACCACAAAACTCGTTCCCAAACTACCTTAAACGTATGGCAACCTAAATTATTTTTGTTGTAGTCCATAAGAAGCACAGGTTCTCCCGCATACTTGTGTTGCTACGGGTAACAACATTTATTTTGAGGCAGCACGATGCACCACTACTTAAAGTTGGAAACAGCCTCCACGGGAGTTATATGCGCTAGGAAACGAAAGCAGTCCTACGGCACAAAAGAGCAAATGGTAAAACACTGGATCTAGCACGGGCACCTGCATGATAACGCAAAGAGAAAAAAGCGTACCAAGAAGGTTGACCCAAAAGATCTGCAATGGAATGAGTTTTCTTAATGCACTCGTGACTGCATGCAAGGCCCGATCCACAGACCAATATTTGTCAATTTTCAGTCATTTTTGACGGACATGTGCCAGACATTAAGACTGGTCACAAACCTGGTTTCATCAAAATCCGCTTCTCCCAAAGGCGCCAGAGCGTGATACCCAACCTCCCGCGCATGTCTATCTTGAGTAGCGCTCGGATCATGCCTGTTTACTTGCTAAAGGCATCCTTTTACCAGATTCCATTACCTTACCTTCCAAACAGCATAAGAAAGTGCCTTAGGAGAAAAAAATAATTATTGCACTGACAAATAAAGGCTCGAATCGCAGTACACTTAAGATCATGATTGAAAGCAGGAAAAAAGGGGAGAAGGGGACTTAACAAATGAAATACTGTACAAAAATTTAGGGTTAGTGTTAGTCATCAGGAAAGGGATCGATGGGAATTTTCAAAGCCCCATCCGTTTCCTCACTGGAGGTACCCATGCCTGCACCCACACCAGCCGTTAAAGTCTCCGCCATTGCACTGCGGATACTCGGCGTAAAGTGCTCGATGAGTTTCACAACGGCCGCCTGTGAGGGTGCGGTCTTCTCGACGCGTTGAGCTGGAGTGTCGGTGGTGGGAGACTGCGTTGAAGGGGAAAGTTGTGAGGAGGAGACGAGGGACCCGACCTGGAGGATGCCCCTCAGCCGTGCCACTCGCCACTCCAAGTATGAGTGGAAGAACTTGCGACCCTCGCAGATCGTGCTGCTGTCGGCGCTGAAGGCAGCCAGGTGCTCTGCCGCCGCGTCCAACGCCTGACGCACGTTCGACAGCAGACTCAGCGCTAAGGCTGACCCCGAGGCAGAGGAAACGGAGTTGGAGAAATCCTGAAGGTGATCAAGTGGGTAATCAGTGACGTAAAAGGCGCTCCTGCAATTGCTTTGAGGAGATGCTAGAGGGAATAGGAAGCTGACAAGGAATGCTACCTTTGTCTAAACCGGTAAGAATAATCCGAATTTCATGATAATATGTAAATAACAATACGAAAATGTAAACAACTTTGTAATTGATAGAATTAAAAGGCCTGAGCCAAGCATTAAAAATTGCGATGAGTTGCTTTCTACATTTATAAATAGAAAATACAAAGACTTTGAATTTCCCAAGAAAGAGTTTACTAACGAAAAAACAAGGGCTAGCTAATAACCGCAATCACATTGATAGTTTGCATTACCGATCCCATTTTCTTACTATTTTTGTTGGATCATGAAATGATGTTGTGCCTAGCGTTATAATGAAACTTGTTTTTAGTTGATAATGTTTCATTCGGGTTGGCAGGAGGATACCGATAGTTGAGTGACTATGACCTAGTATGACTAAATAAGAATAATTTAAGCAAATAAGAGCCAATAAACAAAATTATACAAAATAGTGACATAATACAATTAATGGCAGGTTGAAAGTCTGTACATTAGTGATGTGATGGTCAAATCATACCCCCATGATATCTCAAAGCAAACTTTAGAGGACTGAATTAAAGTGCCACTGGCCCGATAAAAGCGTTTTCTTCCGTACTAAATATTTAAACACGAAAGTTAATGCTGAAAGCCGAAGTACTTTAATAGTGATAAGTACAAATGAACTTGCAAAATATCAGGGTATGACACCAAGGCCTACATACATCAACATTCTTTTTAGAGAGGCAGTAAGTCGTGCCATGGGCGCAGCTCAATACCTCGCCCTCTGGCGCGCGGATAAAAGAAGCGTCTTGACCACCCTCCGTGTCGCAGGCGAAAGCGGAAACCACGGTGCCGATATCTGGCTCCAACCAGCTTGCTCTGGTCGAGGGCTTCTGGTGCGGAAGGGAGTTCGGTTGAACTTGCACCGCCTCCTCCGTGCTGCACTCACGCGCCGGTATTTCCCGCTATAATAATGGGTTGGGAAAAAAGAGTGCTACAGAAAGTAGTAAATAGAACATTTGATGGAGTGAAAAACTATCTCGTTGTCACAAACCTCTTTGACTCGACCCAATTTCGAGCAGTAGTCCTCAATTTGGGAACGACCCATTAGGCCGTTATTACTGCAGTATCAAAATTACATAGGTTGCTTGATAAGTAATACGAGAAATCAGAAAAAGAAGGTGAAAACAACCTTTGACACTGGCTAGGAAGATCTTCAAATGCAGATAAAACTTCAGTTGAAAGACTGGAGGTCAGAGGAAGAGAGTGGATATCGATCTACAAAATAATTAGCCACAAAGGTTATGATGGGTGTGTCAAAGAAAACGGAAAAAAAGGAGTTGAAGTGGCATACACCACAAAGCAATATTCCATTGGTCGAGTGAGTGCAAACTTAGAAAAGGAAGCCTCTGCTGAGCATAGAGGCGAGGGCCAAAAACATGGACTCTGTATGCAATACTCTGTGGGAAGGTAGGATACGCAAAACGGGGCGTGGAAGGGATTTAAGGTGGTGGAAGGGACTAGTTATCATAAAGAATTTAGATACTTAAAAGTGATGATTCGAGATCAGCAATACAATTTCCAAGTAAACAGAGTTCCGCTTCTACTTGAAGCGAACACGATGCGAACAAAATCCAGTTTTTCAACAGTAAGTATTAGGAAACGACTGGCTTGCCACTGCTGCAATTAGGCTACAGAAAGGGACATCGTTCATATAAAGGAATGTAGGGGGCAAATGTTTTGAGAATTTACTTAAGTCACAACATTTAGCCCAATGGATACGATTAACTATGAGAATTAAAACAACCAAGGGTGCGCATACAGGCTTTCTGGCATGCCTCGTCGACTAACTGCTAGGCTAGTAAAGTTGGAGACTCACAAGATCACCGTTAGCAGCGTCTGAAGAGGGAGCTAGAGGCGGCTTGAAGGGAATCTCTTGAGTGATATTCGTAACGCTAGAGGCCCACCGAGGAAAGACTGCGCTGGAGAACATGGAAGGCGTGCTGATGTCCTCGTCGGCGGGGCAACCAACACCATCGTCCCGACATGTGCCGCTACTGGTGGGTAGACCACCAAGGCTGTTGCCGCGACTTAATTCCGCCGGCACCGCACTAGTTGTTCGATTTCGCTGACGCTTCGATACCAGACTTGGCCGCACACGTTCACTCTGAGACCGCGAGACATGAGCCACGACGGTGATTTCTGTTGGTGAAGACGGATTCAAAAACCCCGTGAAGGAACGCTTAACCATGCGACTGGGAAGACTGAAGTATTCCAAGGTCCCCGTATCTGACTCCGGTCGCTGCTATATGCAATAAAGACGCATCGTAAGTACTTTTATTAATCCTAAGAATGACATATACGCAGCTTCTTAATTAAAAAGGCGTAAAAAATAGTTAAACATAATAAGTAAAGATAAAAACAATTAGGCGTACAATTTGAACAGGGAACAGTTGAAAGACAAACAAAAGACCCTACCAGTTGAAAGCCTCAATGCGATCAAATTATGTATCAAATCCTCTTACCCCAAAAAGGTAATTGGTGCACTTGTGCATTTAAGGATTTATTCAACAGACACGCAATAGCAGTAGATTAATGAAGCCTACTTTAAATAATTTCTGTTAAATTTGATTCCACAGTTGGAATGTAATCGCCAATTAAAATACTCTGCTATCATAAATATGAAATGTAGTAAAATTAAATTGACTCGCGCTAACAAATAATTGTTCGATTGACAAGATTTCTTGAAATCCACAGAAGCTCTTTTATCATACATTGAAATTTCGGGACGGGGCAGATAAGCCGAATTCGACACAGAAATCACGTTTCGTTAAGTCAAAATGACGCAAATTACGCAACCAAACTAAGGTCAAAGGCGACGTGATCCGGTATACGGTAGGGTGCAGTAAATATGTAATTTCGGAACATTCTAATAAGCAGACGGTTATCAAGATGAGGCCAGTGCACAAGCGGCAGAGTGACATCTAAGAATAAGTGTTCGCTGAAATGCTGCCCACCAGTGATACAGTATCGCGTGACGAAATCATTGAGATTCGTCAGCCTTCTAGAAGCATTTACGAGTGATTGAAAACATCGGACATACTAAGACAGTTGCAAATGCGCATGCTAGCTACTAAAATCCGGATGAATAAATCAAACCAGATTTGGATAAGCCTCTGCATTTGTATTTGCACAATTGTACATTTGACACACTAGTGTAGATGCGACCACCGCAATAATTAGCTCGCTATGCAAATAGCCAAGACGTAAATGAAGCGCTCAACCAAGATACCCTGTCACGCGCCCAGGAAGGGAGATCATTCTCATTGAAGCAAAACTTGACATTTTCTTCACCACTGGAACTGCCGACATTGTTCGGAGATCTAAACAAAAACATAATCAGGTGAAAAAGGCAGCTAAAAGCCATTGTACCAAAAAGGAAATAATGACAACATATCGAATAGACTTGCCAATTCAAGGGAAGAAACAGTGGAAAAGGAAATTATCATCTTGACGAAGCGAATGAATCTTTTGCTGAGACAAAAATTCAGACTCCAACACTAATTTCAAAAAATTGTTGAACAGACTAAAAGGTGATGGGAGAGGAGCGCTAGAAAGCATGCACTCACAAAGGTAGAGAACCATTGCAAGGAGAGGCCCCCAGTGCGGGAAGATCCGTCGTGGAAGGGGCGGAGGCGGTCAAAACGGCGGCGACGCGTTGCTGCCGCTCTAGCATTAGAGCGGTCAGTTCGGGGGCGAGACGCCACACAAAGATGCAAGAGTCGTAGGAAAAGCTGACGAGGTGCCGCAGGTCGGGCAAGAAAATAAGGCCCATCACAATGTCTGCATGTCCGTACAGCGTGGCTACGAGCTCACCCGTGAAGAGATGAAAGAGGTTGATATGCTTGTCCGAGCCTGCAAAGCCAGTATGTGTAAGCATATAGAAACAAATGCGCGCTAGAGTTACGGCCAAATTGAGTTTTCTACCAAATCACGCCATTGTTTCCACAAGAAGCCAGGGCAGACAAGGCTGCAAAGCCATGTGTTCTTTTCAAGAAAAAGGTTCTGTCTTTCAGATGAGTTAAGAACAATCATGCTTACCAATCGAATTTTATGCTGTGGAGAAACCTCGACATTTGTCAAGTGGAGGGTGGCACAAAAACTCCTGACGGTTTTAACGGCAAACAATGTGAAGAAACACATCTCTCAAAAATCACAATTTTATCAGAGAGAGAGTTCAGAAATTCATTTATCTTGGAAGCTAAATCATACTAAATACATGGTTGCGATACGCACTGTGGCAGTTTTTGTGCCTGAACAATCAAATTTTCAAAAGCATCCTTTAGTTCAGCTAACTAGGTCTGTTTTTGAAGAATTTACACAAAAATAACGCAAACTATTCCCACCGAATTTAACAAGTCCATTTGATTGGTCAAACTATTAGACCAAATATACATTTTTAAACACACTATTGAAGAGGATACAAATAATATCACTACCACATGGAATTGCGGTTCAATAAATATTCGCAGTCTCTCTTGTTCACAACATTGCATTCATGAATTTCACAACATCATATTACGATTTAACAATCAGTTCTCCCCGTTATGAGAGTGTAATCTTTGTCCATTACTCCAGCCAAAATTTATGATTCATAGTCACCGATGTGCATTAAAATAATTAAAAAATCAACCATAAATTCAGAAGGATTTACACGAGGACCATATTGAAGTAAAGTTCGAAAATGACCAGAAGCAATGCTAACGTTGGGTTGTACTAAACTGTCTTAAACTTTATTGAATTACATACACAACTTTTTAATCATTCCGTAAATGGAAGATCAACTCTCAAAACGCAAAAACAAAAACTTCAACTCCTATCAATTCTGGTAAGGGGTCGAGAGGGCTACCCGCGGCGGCGATGAGAGTGCTGGTGGGATCGGCAGCACAGCAAACGGGGGAACCATCCTCGCAGGTGCTGGCGCGGTAGTGGAAGAGTTGGCGCGCTTTAGCGATCTGGTAGAGTCGCAATTGGCGGTCCTGGCACGCCACAGCCAGATAGTGCCGCGCGCGCGGCAGCACCGCGCCCTGCAGCCCTGTCTCCGCTGGCACCAGTACCGAGGGACCCACCACTGTCGCGCATGCGCATGAGTGCGTCATTGAGATGTGGTGTTCAATCACAAATCTCGCCGTTTGACTATCTGGGTCAGTCTGCTCCAACATAGAGACAATCATAGAGGAACTGGAGGGTAGCTCACTGATTATCCCGAAAGTATTCCTTATTTGCAAGAGTTGTGCGTGCTTAAGATATTCGCTACCAAGGTTTCAGAGGAAAATCGACTGCTCCAGATCAATATTCTGCTGTGTTAATAATAGAACTATTTGTTTCCATTTATTCTACTCTTTCCAACCTACTTCCGTTTTAGCCGAATGAGTGGTGAGATCATAAAAAAAGTTGGTTCGGTGCATGTATGATGTTGGTAGGGAGTGTGAAGGCATTTGGATCATTTGTCTCTTCAACGGTAAATGTGACGGTGGCTAAGTTTGTTCCAAAACACTTTTCCCATATGATAGTTTTACACATTTTAACAATGAAACCCTAACCAGCAAACCTTGTCGGATAAGTATGTGTCAACAACCATAGGCGAATGGCAATTATGATTAATACTATCGAGGCTGTCAACAGAAAAAGGTTGCACAGCAAACCGACAAGGGACTGAATAGTGCAACATCATTGCAAAAGTTTAAATTGGTTTTCAAGGAGTTCGCGTAAAATTCCCACTTCATTACCATGAGATTTTGACGCTCGCTTATTCGAAGAAATAGCAATTAAGAGCGATAGCTAAGCATGCAGTGTAAGGTTATTCATAGCCCGATCTCTGTTTTATAAGGACAATTAACGAAGTTTTGACCCATCACAGTGATAGAGAGAATGCAGCACACACTGCATGTGTGTTGTTCTGGCTATGTTACTTAAATTTATATCATTCAACTCATTTGCATTGTTAGAAGATACCAACACAAAAATCTGCACCTTAAAGCGCGCCCTCAATGACAAACCACAGAGAGGGACATACACTGAGAATGCGGAAGAGAAGGGAGCGGTCGGCGCCGCAGGAGATGAGGTAGATTCGGCGAGTTTCCTCACTTTCGAAAAATAGGGCCGAGTTGACCACCCCCGAGTGGTCAGCGAGGGTCTGCACCCGCGAGTAGTCCTGCCGGGGCGCGAACACGTGGATCACACGGTCGCGCGAGGAGGTGCACAGCAGCGACACGTCCGGCACTGCCACCGCCGATACACAAACACACAATCAGTGAAGTAAGATAAGACACCTACAATAACTCCTTCCCCCTCCTCCACCTCGATTAATTGAGAAGGCGTTCACGTAATATCTTGCTGTATCAGCTAGAATTTTACGGTGAAAAAATTGAAGTGACTTGAATTGATGTCTGTAATGTATGCAAGACATAAAGATTTCCTTTAAAGCTTCTAAATCCAAATATGATAACTTCAGCATTCTACGGTGTAAAAGATGGAATGATGTGAGATCCACAATTTGAAGCTCATTTGAGGTTTTGCTAAAGAGATAAATAGGGAATAGTTCCCTCAAGTTGACGCAGACTCACACCTAAAATACCACTGCTTACACTCAACCATATAATGATATTTTTACTAAGGAAGGGAACCCAAACTGTTAGGTTCACACAAAAGCTACCGACCAGGTTTAAGTGTGTAAACTGAAACCTGAATTTACACCGAATAAACTAAAGGCCCCAGGAATTACAATCTGTTAGGGGGATAGCGTCCAAAATAAAGTAAGCATTCCTATTCAATAAGTGTAAGACGAAGTAGTTGATATGGTAATGAATCCATGTGACCAAAAAGCAAAATGATTACATTAAAAAAAACCGGATATTGTTGGTTCTGGAAAAATTTAACTACAGCATCCTAGCACAAATTAAGCAATTATATGAACAAAACATCTCTGTGATCCATAAAATTGTTTAAGCATAAGCAGCGCAAGCAGTTCGAAATAAATTCACTTACTCAGCTTCGATTCGAAGAACGTAATAGAGAGGATTTCTGCATCATGAGCACGAATACTGTGTAACATTTTAAAGGTGTTAAAATCGTAGATCCTAAAAAACAGAGGCGCTAGAATAAATAGGTTAAAAGAGCACGATTTTAGTTTAAATAACAAATACCAGGTGGCATGTGTATAGCTGACACAAAAAATCTCACAATAAGGCTAAGCGAATTTCACTATTAGTATTGGGCTCAAACAAACCATAGAACTGAAGTAGTAATTATCTGGTCCGTAGAATGCAGGCATAGTTGCTAACTTTAGCTTACCAGCCAGGCTCCGCGCTGATGCTCTGCCAATTGTTTTAATACTACTGAAGAATTGGTGACAAACTGCTAGAAGAGCGCCAATGAAATCATGATATTTAAAGATAAAGCTGTTTACTGGTTGGAGGTGAAGAGGCTGCAGAGCATACTTAAAATCTTAAAAAAAGCGCCCACATTCCGAAGCTATAGAAGTATCCCTTCTATAAGTTATAGAAGTACCCCCTCTATAAATGTTCCAAGCTCAATACCGCCCCCATAGCTCAGCCTTTTAGCCAGCAGACAGGTGTCGTGTTCCGAGTGCACATAGGGTGTTGGGATTACAGGCTCCTGTTCTGAAGCTTTAATGTCTTAGTTACTCTAATTGGGATCCCGGCAGTGTCCGCACTTGCAAACACACAATAGTTTGTGGCAGAAACCATTTTAATGGGTGCCCACTTCGAAATGCTAGATGGACACCAATTAATTTTACCCCTTTTGTTTGCATAATTTTGTACACACACTCACAGCACCCAAGAAAAGCGATTCTAAAATCATGCGCTAGGCACTGAGTGATTTGAATGTAACAACTGCGTAAAAACACACGCACCGCACAAAGGAAGTTAGTGACATGCGCTAATCAGCCAGTTCATAAATTTGAAATAAGAACAAGATTCATCATTGACGGATGGGAGATTATGGGTTATTTGGACTAACACAGAAATGTCATACATTAAGAAGAGAGAGGGAAGCTACCTGAGCTGACCGGATCGATCGCCAACAGCAAAGTGTCGGGCGTCGGGTGAAATAGCGATGGAGCGGAGACCAAAGCCAGGGCCGTTCTGTGTGGCGACGATGTTGGCGTTGCTGCTCCACCGCCCGGGTCCCTGTCGCACCAGCGCCGGACTGCCTGGAGCAGAAAGGTTCAACGTGCTCCCCTGGCCAAAATACGTTGGGCCGAAGCCGCCTATGCAACACAAAAACTTTGGGAAAACTCATTTCCCCCAAAACATGCTTGTAAAACCATCATTGAGGTACACCAATACATGTACTTTTTGATCTAGATAAAGGAAGTACGTGGAAGCAACTCATTACATTTCTTACTATCAAGCTTAGGAGTTGCGAAATACTTCAAGGAATAAGGGAATAAACTTGCGATTCTTGCGGTTTGGTGATCAGTTTGAGCAGAGCTAACTTAGAAAAGGGTTCATGTGGCAACGTTATTAAGTTCATGATTCACCAAAAAAAGAGTAGAGACGTTATTGTTTGTTTCATTCAAACTGTGTTGTGACTAAAGCATACATCATAAAAAGTCCGAATTCAATTTATTTAAAGCCAAATGGTAAAAGTGCATGAAGCAGCGATTCGTCCATGATAGATGTCACACCGTCCCAGCGCACGTACGCGTGCACGGTTTGTTTCAACACAGACCAAGCAGATTCTTGCCGAAAAAACGTAGTATGGCAGTTAAAAAATAATACCACAGCGCATTGCGCCGTTTTCATCATCGAACGACATTAATGACCCCAAACACAAAAAGGTCAGTTTTGTTCGCGAATAGAAAAGCTGCAGTCTTTTAAATACCAGGTACGGAAAAAAGCTTCTTTTTGCGACGCGAAAAATGAGCGTGGTGGTTCAGCAGTGGAATTGCAGACATGAGAGCTAACTCACTGGAGTTTCTTTCATTGGAACAGAGATTGGCGTAGCTGGCATCCGTGTACAAAATGCTGACCTCTTCCTACAACAATAAATCAATAGGCTTCTCTTTGTAACTTCTAGCTTAAAATAACAGGAACAGACGATGCCTAATGTAGCAAAAATTCACATGTTCACCGTCCAATTATGCTCAGTTTCTATTACAGAGTAACGCATGAGAGATTTAATGGCTGATCTAATGGTAGCAAAACGTTTAATTATGCTGCAAGGCACTTCATATTGAAGTGGGTTATCGCCTCCACGCAAGTGATTAGCTAGTACAACCTTTTTTACCAATAGATGATAACACTGTGTAAATATAGAGATTTTTCACGGCTTTTTCAAAAATTGGCTCGATTTCACTAAAGAAGGCCGCATACTTTGCCATCGGGGAAGAGTTCGTGGGACTTAAGGGTAGAACGATTGACGGGAAAGGACCAGACGCGCACAGTGTCATCGTCTGAGCAGGTGACGAAGTGCTCCATGTGGAAGGTGGTGGTTCCGGCGGCATCCGCGGGAGCCCATCGACCGAGATTGGTTTCGTCAAGCATGGGGCAGGTGCCCGATGTAGTCACTGCACCACCGCACACCGCGCGGCTATGGTAGAAATGCGCAAACTGTCGCCCGATCGACCTTAGGTCGGCCACGTTCCAACAGTAGAGACTGAATGCATTTGGAAGCGAAAGAATGATGCTATTCACGGACCCAACTTTGCTTGTTAGAACGGTCCACAGTTAATGATTATACCACCCGCGCTTCTAGGCCCATAAATATTTGCATTGTTATGATAGCCATTCAGACACCTACGATTTTAGAAGTAGCAGCGGTGACAGCAAAACAAAATATGCACAACGCCGTCTATCCACTTAAAAATGTCATATTGTTATGGATGGTCACGGTGCTAACTAATACGGGCACCATATTGCACTATCACCTCAGTGGAAATCCGCACCAGTGAGTGAAAGTAACAACCATAGATGTCAATGTGGGGATCAAGAACTCCTGATAGGTTCTCTAAAGTCGCTAAAAGTTGTGAAAGTGTAAACTAAACAGGGATAGTGGATGATCGCACCTGTGGTCCGCGTACATACAGATAAGGTGCCCCGCGGCAAGGTCAAGCCTGATGGCTGCCACTTCGGCGTAGCGAGTTTCTTCCCTGCGATTACCCGAAGAGGTGACTGAAGACAAGACCCCCACCTTGGATTTCTGCGAAAGATTGTCGCACGAAAATTTAGTGAGTTATACTAAGACCCCAATTTCATCAAAAGCTACTCTCTAGTAACAAACTACTTGTCCAATCATTGCGTAATCTTTTCGGAAGCAGGTTTCGTCACCCATACAATCCTTCATAAAACCAATAGGGCGTGGAAATGTTAGATGACGTCAGTCTCTTTCATCACGACTCCTGATAAACAAGTAAACTTTCTTGAAGGAATTTCGTGAGAAAAAATGGTTTTTATATTGTCATCAACCCCATAAAATTCCAACTCGAGAAACCTGTAACTACCTAAAAGATCAAATGTATAAGTGAGATCAAGTTACCGAGCCAAACCCTTTTACATAAAACGAATATATTCGGCTTATTGTTCCGAGAACCGCAGTTAAAGACGAAAAGGCAAAAGGCGACGATGATCCTTTGAAAGTGTTAGTAGTGGGAAAAAGTAAACGAAAACCGATTTTATCTACGTACAGGTCGAATTTCGTGAGAAATGAATGTATGGAAATGAGAACTTATATCACTGTTACCTGTCACTAGCACATTCAAAAACTTGCATGTAAGATACTGCATGTTGTCTTTTCGTCCATTGCACAGATGTACAACTTAAGTCGTAAGTTAGTTGAGGATGATATACAGTGAAATCAATAGCTACAAAACACGAAATCGGCCCAAAACACATTGGAAATAAAGACCTTTTAGAGCACCCATTCGGGTTCAATAGTTTAACAAAAAGGCTAAGACTATCAACTTTCATAAATGACACCCCTACTTAAATGCAGTGTGGATATGACCACGCACAAATACTAAATGGGAGCGAATAAAACTATTCCTATTCAGCAATTAACGGAACTGCCTTATTCATCTTCCCAATACAAATTTCTTCTTGAAAGGCAATAGCAATTAGAAAGAGATTTTAGCATTTAGTATGAAACAAATCAAATCTAGAAATTTAGTTCCAGTAGTCTGTCTAGCTAGTAGCCGACTTTTTAGTCCGAAAAACTAACGGTTCACCTGAAAAAAGGACAAACATGTGGCTGGCCGAGAAACGGTGATAACACTGAAATCAGGTGGCTTTCATTATATCAGTCTCAAAAAATTGTTGGACGAATAGACTTAGGTTGAAAAATCACCAAATAAAAAAAGAACAAATTACGAAGACGTTAGAACCGAGGGGGTGGGGAAGGGGCACACGGGCGATGAATCGAAGGGTGATGGCGGAGAAGATGAGACACACCCCAGAAGCACAACCGACTGCTACTGTCTGCCCGCTTAGCGTCATACATGCTGTACTGGTTACCTAGGGAGAGAAGGTAAACAGGAAAGCACTTTCGGGCTAGTCAGGGGGACGGCTGCCACGATAGCAGTTGGCACCGTAGTGCTAATTAACCTCTCTTACTTGCAAAATCAGGTAATTTTTTAGCAGTGAGTTAGATTTTGCAAGCTCTAATAGCGACGGTAGAGTGATGATGACAAGCATCGATTGCAGAAGTGTCTAGGGGGATAATTCAATGCCCTGCGTAGAAACGCATCGATGAAACAATGGAAAACACGATGCACATTAGATCAAAGTAATAATGCCGGCAATATTTTTGATAGTTGTCAGCGCAAAAATGGTAGGGATGCCAACGGACGTTTTGCCTTGGGTGCGTTTTGAAAAAAACTTGCAAGCACACTATTTGTGTTGGATAGGAGATATGAGTGGATATAATAATCACAAAATCACAATTCTACCAGCAAAAACTTTGCGAGAGCTTATATTAGAATATTTTTGATGAAGTGCAACCGCTGATTAGCTCAATATGTTTATCCATAAATGCCAGGCCACAACGATTAACTGGGCAGAAGGAAGAGCAGCTGCTCTTCCGCTGGGTTCTGCCATTAATTACAATATAGGCTTACACCATAATTGACTCCCACTATAAACGAATCGCTCTAAGATGGGAAGAAAACAGCTACGTCTAAAAAGGTGAATAATTTTCAGACTGCGCGCCAAAAGTCGAAAGAGCAATAGTCAGGTTTGATAAGCATAATCGAAGCCTAGAGGTAGAAAATGGCATCGTATCACTTGAACGTAAAAAATCAAGTCTTCAGGCACCCAATTGTTACCTTAGAACCGATGGCTATTTTGCTTTGGGATTACTAAAAAAAGTTTATTTAAAAGTAAATTAAAGGTGAACTGAATCTGGAGCTGCAAATCTAGTTCCTGTGATGCATGTTGAGATTCTGAAACCCAATAAAAAAGTATATCAAATTACACTTTAGTATCCTACTTTGCATGAGCAGGTAAAGAGCCACACTTACCTTGAGGTCAACCCACTTAGCGACACATCGGGCAGCATTGATTTGGAGGAGCTGACCGGCTTGTGAAAGGACAAGGATCAGGCCCGGGACTCGCCATTGGCCTCTGCAGGTCCCACACAACAGCAGACGTCCGTGAACGTGTTGTGCAACATGTCGCCCAGTACTGCATTCCTGCCCTTCAGAGGCTGTGTCTCTTTGACCTGCGACACAAACACAAAAATATGTATATTACGCCCTACTTGCTCGCGCATCGGTAGCTGTGTGGGCTAGAAGCAGTCGAGGGATTTAGTAGTGACAAAGGCTCTGCGCAGGGATTCTGATCCAATTTAATCCAGTAAATGCCTAGATTTGTGCCGGAAAACATTCACCTCCATGACATCAGCTAGAAACAAAAAGTGCACGCTTTCGTGAATGGAATTTAAGAATTAAACTGCATGGTAAGCGGTATAACACGAAGCGATAACTTTTCTAAGTGATTTCTTATAAATTACCCAGTTAAATTCCTACAACAGGTTACTGAACAAGCCTAAAGCAACAGTATTGCAAAAGTAAATCATCACACACAGCTTAAGTGATGAATAAAATTGCAACGCCAAATAACTTAGCATTACGGGCGAAATTGTAAAGGGGTTAACAAAATTTAGCTATAATAACCTCAAAAATCTTGAATATAAGGAAAGTGAATAGCTGAATGTAGGCAGAAGGCCCCGTGAGCATGGAGGGAAGAGAGCTGCGCGCATGAACACCGAATGAAGGGAAGCAATATATTTTCAATGGAGGAGAAATCTGTAATCGACAGTTGATTATTGGGCAAGAACACTGTTTAGACCATAAAAGCAGTATGGTAACGAAGAGTGATACAGAAGTGATGTAGATAATTACAATCGGAAGTCACAAAATTCTATTAATTCGTAGGTACTTATGACTGATTCACCAACCCAATCGTTAATAAATGGGGAAGAAAACCTTCAATATGGAGGGAACCAGAATTGTTAATCAAGAAATGTCTATTTAATTATACAACCCCAAATTGAACCAGAGCAAATAAAAAAAAACGAGTGCGTCCTTCGAGATGCAAGTAAATTAATGCTAAGCATTTTTAAGGCCAAATACCCCAACAATTGATTACGAATGAAAAACGAATACGTGCTGTATCCAAAAAAGTACTAATTTGGGGCAGATCTTCAATACTTATATAAGGATTATAAAGTGCATTCTACGTCCAATCACACCTAACCACAGAACATGCTCTTCCAGAACTCTTAAGAATATAAATACTTGGAACCGATGGAGAAGAAAAATTGGTCAAGTGCATTCTTTTGCAACAATTTATACTGAACTGCGCGTTCAAATCAGTATGATTTAACCACCATGCAACAAGAAAACAATTAGTGGTATTCACCATTTTGGATGCTTTCATCAAAGTCCATAAGATAATCAACATGACCGTTGCCGATAATGAAAACCTTGCTCAAAAATGTCAATAAGTATTGCGTTTTGCTGGCGGTAAACGAGGTCCACTCGGAACTGCTCGTCAAGATACCATTAAATTCAAGCTATCCCATTTTGGGTGATTTGTTTTGCAGAATCCTACAGTTAACTACCCTCTCTAAGATCACACAATCCACCGGATGTCTCACCCTATTAAATCAAATGAGCCAAAAGCGACATAATTCAATCCACAAAGCTTTGTAACGAAACCATCATCGCGTTTGGGATTATTATGAAGCTGATCTGAACAACCAAAGAAATCTTAAATACCATAAGTACATTGTTGTAAATTCAAGATCCCAAAAGAAAACCTCTGGTTATGCTAAGGGCGACGGCGAACAATGGCGAGATACGACGGTCCAGAGAATGCCTTTGAAAGGGAGCTGAAGAATTCCATTTAACTCATTAACTGAACGGTGTAACCCACCTCTAGAAGGGCGTGAATGATTTGCCTCTTCCTTCAATACCCGACTGCATAAACTTTAACATCGAGTTAGTGAAGTGAGATTAACAGTACGAGTTTAATTACCTTGGGACGTCTTTTCAAATCGATGTACCAGAAGCGAACATGACGAATGCCCACAGTAACGAAGAACTCCCCACTATCACTGAAAGCGACGGCGTTAACCTAAAAAAAGGTCCTGGTCAATATTCATGAAAAAACAGTTATAAAGCTCAATTGACGAAATAGTCTAACAACTATTTTCCTCTAGCGTTACCTTAATAATCGCCTAAAATAGAGACAACATTTCGGTCCATGAAACTGGGATAGCTAAGTTTCAGAAAGACAATATCAACACCAGCGTAACATTTATAACATTTGTTATTTAGTAAACAGCCGAATTTTGCCGAAATTCAGTAGCGGCCGATGAGAGTAATAATGCAGTAGTTTCTTAAAATTGATGTAATTTATTCAACTTTGTAGTGATAATGATTTTCGCACTCAAAACTGGAGACGTAAGATAGGCGATCAGTGATAGTAAATTTGGCTAAAGCTAACGTTGCGCACGGCACCTATATTGTCTCCGTCTTTCATAAGTTTTTTCATTAAATCTTTTCTGCCAAATAATAGGTAAGAGTGTTCCCGTGCTAGTAAAAGATCATGATGGTTTTAAAGTTCAACTTCGTCCTGACAAATCACGGACGCTTGAATGCGAGCCAACTTCAGCAGTTTGAAGTGCCAACATAATTGTGACTTGGTTAACCACGTGTGAGTGTTCGATTAAAAATCACAACCTCCGGTGTTAAAAAAAAAGATATGGCCCTTCCAATACAGATGGTATACTTACTCTTGCGGAGACTTTTGCACTGGCGACCTTTTGGAGTTGAGCTCGGTCCCACAAGCAGATGGTCTGGTCCTCCTGGCAGCCCACACTGACGATGTGCGTTGCGGTGGCGGGACTGAACCGGACGGAACTGATGCGAAAGTGGTGACTACTGAGGGTCCCTATCTGACGCCCGTCCACCCGACTCCACACGCGCACCATGGGCTGATGTCCCGACTATGAAAACAGAAAACCTCCCATAAAACCCCGTCTTTTTCGCAAGCATTTCATTATGGATATATATTCATGCCCGAATGTGCATCGATAAAAGATAGTGAGGGATTTCAGTTATGCATAGCGTTTTTAAGTCATAATAAAATGGTGGCAAAGATTGCAAGCCAACCACACTTCCATGCACTAGCATTCGGATACGGTGGTGTCAATAGGGATTTATTAGTGTAAATCAGATTCCAATTCATGGATTTATGAGTTTTTCTTGTTTAAAGTTTAGCAGTAAGAAAGTAGTCAGAAACTACTCTTGGGAATGCACTATTGGGGAGAGCAAGAATCACTAGATACCTGTAGAGGCCAAACGTACTACGTTATAAATCACTTTGAGCAAAATGAAAGCATTTTTAATAATAAATCAGATTAAGGTCTTTTCAATGGTTAACGCAATGGCACAGGTCGCAAAACACTTATTTTTTCTCCCTACTTAAGCAATACTTCAATGAGATCAGGCATATCAAACAATAAAATAACTCACTTCACCGGTGATGATGTATTTACCATCCTGGCTAACATCTAGACAAGTTAAGGATTTCCTGGCTGGACTTTGTACAATGAATTGATTATTTGTTTCACACGATTCTCCAACAACAACGCAGCTGTAAAAAGTGTAACAAAGCAAAGTTTTTCTCAAAACAACTCCTCCTGTCAGCCTAATGGAATAGTCAGCAACAGCATACCAGGCAAGTAAATAGAACTAAAATGGAATTCAACAGTAAAATTGAAAAAAATTACCCAGCTACGTAAAACACTGTCGAGTTTTTGGTATCAATTGCGACAGAACAATTGTTCACTGCTGTGAACCCGAGAACACGCTCAAGGACCACACTAAAATTGGACTTAAAATAAAAAAGGACACATATGAATTGAAAAAGGTAGTGCCTAAGAAACTAAGGATGCATACCTTTGTCTTTACTGTACGGTAGGGACGAGGAGTTTTTGACATCCTAAGATGATTAGTTCCTATAAGCACCTAAAAACAGTACTATATGTCAAAACAGAAAAATACACTGAAAACAAGTAGTTCACTTATCACCTAACAACAGCTTTTCACGCCTAATGGAAATGCCACCAACAAAACTACTTTTAAATATCTGTATATAGATGGACATAAAGGAGTCTATATCAACAAGAGATCCATGGACAGCAAAAATGCAAGTACATAGCCGAAATATGTGGTAGCTGACATATGAGTGATAAGAAGGCCAATACCACTATTCGCTCAATTATCTAGGCAGAAGACAAAAGAAATACTAGAAATAGTTAATTCAAAAGACAGTAATAAAAGAAGGATAATTCACAATCACAGAAAGAATCACACACGAATTCGCACCACACACCCTAGCTTTTAATAGTCGTTCAAGGCAATTGATTTCCCATTTCTTGTTTCACTTTCAAAAGGTCTATAATTCTGTTAGGTCTATAATGATTATTTCTTTTAGAAAATTTTAATAGCTATATGCTTACACGAAAATCAATGGAGACAGGCACGAAATTTAATAGGAAAATAACGAGCGTACTCAAACATTTAAAACTGTGCTTTGCAAACTGTTACAGGCAACATACCTTTTTGCTGTACATTTTGCGCAAGTCATATTGGCCAAAATATTTGGTTAACTAATCCAAAATATGTGCTTCTCTCTGAGGTGAACTACGATACAAATAGATCGCAGTGACCGAAATCCCCATTAAGTCGCAACAAATAAAAGAAACATGCAAGAACAGGTATGACTTGAGAGCCTGATGGCCTTGTCCGAAGCCTATATCGTATTGATATTGCAAACTGCAGTGGTTAGATAATGACTGAATTAGGACACAGATGGAACATTGGGGCGATACATACTCCCCCCTAATCTTAAGCGTTGTTTCCAACACGTATCGTGGCTAACTCCCTGCGTTGAACATTGCAATGGAAAAAGTGTTTTAGAAATTTTTCGAGTCAGCAACATCAGTCAATTGATTTTTCGGCGTCTAGGTAGGCATTTAATCTCAGCGCCTTGCTGCATCCTACCCATTGTATTATATCTTCAGTTTCGACTAATTTGTAAAGTGCATTGAGGAAGGGAAGTGCACTGGTCACGTGTAGTTTAGGACCAGATCATTTCCTAAAATGAGGATTCTTCGTGTGAATACCTTTCACCTTAGTAAAACTGGTCCAAAAGTAGATGTAATATGATGGTTGCTCATCTCCCAGTTTTGGTTAGGAGCCACTTTTAACTTACTCTTTGTACTACGCCGGGTAGGCCAGCTCTCGGGCCATACCGGTAGCCCGAATACCTTCTTCTTTCTGAATATGTATATTCTGCCCGAGTATTACGTCTTCATTCGTCTTCAGTGAAGTCTGGGGACGCTACACAGGGTCACCCAAAAGAGCATGAATTGGGCTAGGTTCACTTGTCTAATGCTTTGCATCTACTCCTCCTTATCTCTCTGTGATCCCTTCAATAAATCCTAGATATCTATCTGATTTTTATTCAAATACTAGAGATGCGAAAGAGATATCGCTCGTTAACTGAATTGACATCAAGACATAGGTGGTATAAGCGTCTCCTAGCAGTTCAAGTTTGGTGTCCTTTTCACTGCTTACAAGATTTTTGTGGAATACAAAAACTAAAGTATGTGAAGTAAGGAGTCACCATTTTTAATTGTATTTACCAAGAGTCTGTACAAGTTTACTCGTCCACGGCAAATCCTGTCCCTTTGCCATGTTTGGGTATGGAATCTAAGGCTGGAAATCAGGATAGTTGTTGCGCCCCGAGACTTCCCTGAAGACAAAAGAAGACGTACGGAACGTTTGAAGGGCGTAAGGGCGGCTAGCATGGCCCAGAGGCCAGCCCACCCGGCGAGGTAGAATCGACAAGACACAAAGTGGACCTTTATTAAAACCGAGAGTTAAACAATCAACGTATTACGTATTGGTCTGTTGGGTCCGGTAGGCTTTCAAACACCACCATTTAAGCGACTCGAATAGTTTTAAAAGTCGTAGTAACCCGTCATGTTGAGGAACACATTTGTTAAGTATGAAACAGTAGTAAGGCTATTAGAATCTAAAGGAGTCAATGTTGGTAGTTAAGCACACCCAGCAAGACAAAAAATTAAACCACCACACAGGTCAGCACATATCATTGCATCTCTATCAAAACAGATGACCAAAATGAAGGGGACAAGCTACTACTTTGGTATAAACGGCATAAAAGCTGTCAATTAAGACCAAAATTCTTCCACCGCATACACCATTCATGCTTACTACAACACCTTGGTTAGGTACCAAATTAATGTCAGTAATAGTACGCCCAGGAGAAACTTTCTCTATAAATAATCCCTCTAAAGTACCTGTAGCGTCCCGAGACTTCTCGGGCAGAATATATATGCTCGACATAGAGAATGTACTAGGGCTACTGCCATTGCCCGAAGGCCAGCCCCACGGTGTGGTACAGTGGTTAAGCCAAAAGTGGCTCCTTACCAAAACAAGGGGTTAAACAACCAACGTGCTACAAGATAACTGTGAATTTTAAGTAAACGACAAAAAATGTGCACGGAAAAGCAGTGATTTCATTAGATTTATCACAGGCATGGGGGTCAAAAAGTACTTAAAGTTGCTTGTCAGTAGCATAGGCTGTGCAAGACGGGACATTTAAAAATTGAACTCACTCTGATATTAATTTTTACAGCCGGCAGGGCTTGAAATATATTAAAAATGCAAAGCTCATGAACAAAGAACTGATTGGATTGCTGTGATCGCTACCCCTTGATGGCCTGATATTTAAAAATGTGTCACTAAATGCATTTAAAATTTCAATTACTGTTGGCTTATGTCGATAAATGTTTCAATGTAGCTACCACAGTTTCTGCATCTTATTTTAATTCTTATTAAGTCTCAAGGTTATCATGGTATACCATTCCCTGCGTCCTATTGTCATGGCAGGGGAGGGGCGGGTTGATGCATCCTTGAGTGATGGTGGTTCCAGAGGCTCAGGTGTAGGTACGACCGACGGAGTCGATGCTACCAAATTCGGATGCACTGAATCAATATTTAACCATGATTTCGCCAGTGTAAGCTGCCATTAGAGGTAGTTTTTATGTGGTCGGTGAATCGTTGTCTACTAGCAATTAGTTTAACAGTGCATTAGAACCACAAGTAGGGGTTTCTGTGCCAGAAGAGACACGTATTGTGTAGCAACCTACTGGATGATGCATGTCGCATCTTGCTGATGTAATTCTTTTGCTCTTACGGCTTGATGATTTGATCTAGGAGGACTATTTTCTGAATGTATATTGACAGTACGTCATACCTGATTGCTTCAGCTTGCACAGTCGATGGCGCATAGTGCGGAAGAATTTGTGCGGCAAGTGTGGCTACGGGGGTGGCAGTTAGTTCAATTCGCTCAATTACCGGTGTGGATGAAGGACAATGATTTTTTAGTCCGCGGTCATCGCCCCGCGCTCAATTCCTACTGGAGTTGTGCCAAATCCATTTTTCGAATCCATACCGAAACGGGTAACATCTGGACTCACCTCCTTGGTAAATAGCTTTGCAGTTAATTTAATTGCCTTTCCAGGCTGTGTGCTTTTTATCACAATTTGGACCTTCTTCGTGGTATTTGCTCCTGAAAGCATTCAGTGGCAAGACAAATTGGTCTTCTCGGCGTTTTTTTTGGGAGCAGTAGTCTGCTTGGGATTCTCCTGTATTTTCCACACTCTCAGTTGCCACTCCCTTAAAGTATCCCGTTTCGCTAACAAGTCAGTTGGTAATATTTAACTCCTTGCATAATCCACTTCGCTCCGCTTGTTCAATTGCTACTGGATTGTTATCTAATCATGTGATCTATTCTCCATGGGCGTATAGGGTGACTTCTCGTTCCGGATTTTCGGTTGTTGTTACAGGCTCACACATTTTTAGCTAGGATACGTTCAATATCCTTTGAAGACGAACCTGACTCAAACCGTCTTGGATATTTTTAGTACGTTACTTAAGGATCGTTAATTTTATGCTGCAGACTGGACTACGCGGGAATTGCAATCCTGACAATCGGGTCTTTTGTGCCTTATCTCTACTACACCTTCTACTGTGACTTTTCCGCAATGGTAGGCTATCTATCGTTGATTTGCGTGCTCGGCGTCACGTCAATCTGTGTGTCAATGCTGGATGTGTTTGCGAGCCCTCGATTTCGCTCAGTGCGTGCTGGTTCCTTCATTGGGCTGGGTCTTTCCGGTGTTATTCCTGCCACCCACTACGCCGTAGTGGTGGGTTGGAATTCTGCGGTTGAGGACGGATCTCTCGGCTGGCTCATATTCATGGCAGTTCTTTACATCTCTGGCGCTGTACTTTACGCTCTCCGCATCCCAGAACGCTGCTTCCCCGGTTATTGTGACATCTGGGTACGTCGCTCAACTCGCGTTTACGCTACTTTCCCTTTTTACAACTTTCTCTGAACTGCGCAAGCTCGCTCTCCTCCACTTGTAGTTTCAGAGCCACCAAATCTTCCACGTGTTTGTTGTGGCTGCCGCCACAGTGCACTACTACGGCGTCGCGATGATCTCCAACTATCGCCTGAGTCGAGGAGACTGCAAACCCACCCCACCGATTAATTTTACTCATACTTAATGTTCTGACTCGGCATCTCGATATGATCGTGATATCAGTAGTTGCTTACTACGGTGCCACGTCCTACTGCATTGTCATTCTTAGCCCCCTAACTGATAGTAAATGACAAGTTCTTCGCAGTTAAGACCCTAACCAGCTTAATAACTTGGAGGTAATTTAAATAGAAATTTACCAGGATAAAAGTACAGTAGCACAACCACAAGTATGAAGATTAATTTAACGAAGAACGATTACATGAATTTTTTGGGGAGGTTCGGATCGGACCATTTTTTGCGGGGATTGGTCAAGCTTTTGCTCGGCCTCTGTCTTTCAGGTACATTGTATTGAGCAGATTTAAATGCTTCTGGTCTGTTATTGGGTTTTTTATTAAAATCTCTCATTATGGCGAGCTTGAAAAGGCTGGAAGGCCTACGATCAGACGTTTCGCGAGGCGGCAGCTGTTCCGCTTCCTCGTCAGGGTCGAGGTCCAAAAAGGAAACCTTGTTCGCATCCGCATCGTCCTTTACTCCGGGAGTGGACTCACATTTGAACGGATTAACGCGTGGTGTCACTTTGGCGACCTAGAACGTGAAACACATCGCTGGATGGTGCTCATAGATCTAGTCGCTTGTGGACTTGCAAAATTTATAGGCCGGTCTAATCGTCAACAGGTTACACGACCAGTTGCGCGTCTTTAACAGGCGAATAAGGGGCAGAACTCCAGCCCTCACTTACTTTGGGCAGTATATCGCCCAATTTGGGTTCCGGAATATTGGTGTTGATCTCAGGAGTAGGTAGATCAATGAGATGCAGACAGCGTCTCAGGCTGAGCCTGTTTTCAGTACCCAAAGTTGTCGTCCTGATGCTCGCAGGCGTACAGTTGGGGGTGGTTGACGCGGCAGAAAAAGATTCTGCAATCGATGAACTGTGTGCGGATTCCTCCAGGAGGCGCACCATTTCGGACTCCATTTGTGTCGCGCGACCCTTGTAGCGCTCCACTTGTCTTTCTAGATCAGCGACGAGTTTGGTGGACGCTGCATGGGCACGTCGCAGTCGATGTGCGTCCGTACGGTATTTCCGCGATCGATTTTGTGCCTCAGATAGCTCCGCACGAAGAATAGCCACCCAGCGAAAGAGATTGCATATTGTTTCGGGCGAATAATCATCCTTCTGGTTTTTATACTTTTGCATCAACTCGATCGCGGCATCTTCATTTGCTGATTAAAAAAAATGTTCGAACTTGAGTGAAATACATCGTCTTAGTAGGTGCTATATTTTTTGGGGCACGCAAGATCCAAAGTATAGAAAATTCCCTCGACCGATAAGTCCGCACGTTTGATGAATTACAGCTGTGGTGCAAATTAATGAGTAGTCACTACGCGTATTGCAACGTTGTTTTGCATGAACGGAGGGTGGCTTCAAACAACGGTGAAGGTAAATACATATTTGGGTGATGCTACTGATCGTTTTCACTTGCTACGCCGCTGAGGCTCGCGCTACAACTGTGAACACAAGCAAATGGGATCCAAGAGTAAGGGGGTTTGACTCACATCTGACGAGGACCTCGATGTCTTTCAGTTCGTTCGTTTTTTGACGTAGTTGGAAGCACTCGTCCTTTATCTCCTGCGCTTCCTTCACAACCCTAGAGTAGCCAGCCAGTTGCATTCTGTCAAGTGAATAGCATAAGCTTTAATGAAAAATCACAAAAGCAGCTTTAGGTAGAATACGAGTAACTTATCTGGGGCACACAGGATACTACAGATCAAATTAGTGTTCCAATTAGGCACTGATGGATCTGAACGAGAAATATGCTGAAAATACATGAAGCAACTAATACGACACATCTGGACAACTGCTTGAACGAAAAGTACAGTACTAAAGTATCGATGAAATGGCTCTATTTAGTGCTACTGTTGCCAGGGGAAAATGGGACCGGTGAAGTAGACATCTCACCTTGCCTGAAGGCATTTTTGATGTTCAAGTCGATAGAGTTCATTAGTCTCCCGATAGAGTTCAGAGATGGTGTTTATTTCGGTTGCTTGTTCGTTGATTTTCTGCTCAGCTAACTTTGCTCGGGCTTCCAAGACGGACAGTGCACCACGAAGTCTCACGATCTCCAAATGCGCCGACGAAACATCACGAACACTTGAGGGTCGCAGCTATGCGCAAAGTAGTTACTTAACTGTTGCGTTCAACCAGTGTAAAGGGACAAAATTATACTAATTTGAAAAGTGTGATGCACTGCAAAGAACTTGAATGCATCCGCAAATTCACATAGTGATATCACTGGATGAAATGGCTTTACTATAAGTGGTTGGGGAAAATCGCTTTGTTAGAACCAAGTGATACAAAAATATTCCACAAAGGTGGGTCTTACGCCATCAGCGTGATGGATACTTTCACCGAAATCAGAGGAGCCATCAATAAACGAAAAGAAAAGTCGCGGAATGATCTCTGAACCAAACACCACGATGCGGCACTGGGGACAAGTGGAGGAGCTTTCCAACCACTTCTTGATGCAGGTTGCGTGGAAAGCATGACCACAAAGGAGGGCTGATATGTGTTCGTTTGTACCAGTTCCTAGTACTTCTTGACATATGGAGCACTCAGCAAGTATCATAGTGAGTAAAACGGCTAAAAGACAAAATTATAAGCGTTTACATTGATCGAGGTATATAGCAGAAATACATAAAAAGGAGCAATTAGTGATCTGTGATTGAATATCCATAATGGCTAGATGAAAGTAAAATAATGGGGACGTCTATTCGACTCAGATTTGTGAAAATGAAGTGAAGTAGGAAAACATTGTCCTAGGGTTGGTATCACGTGCAAGAGATGTCTTTTGAACAAATTCGATACTATAAAAGCAAATACCATGATACGTATTTTGCTGGAACACCCGGTGTTGATATATTTTAATTGTTACAACTGACAAGAACAAACAATCTGCATGAATAAAAGTACTTTCGAGAAACAAAACTGCCACAAATGGCAAATTTGAGGTGTACAGAGAATTCTATGGCAAATTCACCAAATCAAATAGGTTGGAAAATACTAGAGTTGACAGTTTACGTTTTAGAGTACTGATGAGTACAAATTGCACGCTATGTGGAATAGTAAGCGAGGATGAACTTACGAAAAAGATTGGGTGATCTGTAAATAGAGAAATTATGGACTATAAGCCCATAAAAATGGGACGATTTGCAAAAAAAACAGCAGAAAAGTTCACGTGCCAGGCAGATTTGAATTTACGACGTCGGGGTCAGACTGCCAATTGTGATGCATTTGCAGACTCGAGTGGATTATTTATTTCGAAAGTATTCATACAACCCATTCACTTTTACAGGAATTTAGATGTAACGTTACGTAACCAAAAAAGTAATAGTGGCTCCAGATTTGCGGAAAATTATCTATAAATTTTGTTTTATCCTATCTCGATAGTTTATTTTTAATCGCTGGAACCTTACGTTTTTGCCTTTTTGACCGAACTGCAACATGGAACTCCTTAAAACAATTTTGCGACGCATAATCACAACGAATTCATTCGCTTTACCCCAGCGTCTCTTTCAGAAACTTGCCTACCCCCCTGCCCGTGCACCCTCAATTTTCCCGACTTTGATTAGTACTCCACTACCAACGTCTGTAGACCTCTCGGTAGCAATGAGGCCCCCCAGCGCGACCCTTCACCACGCCTTGGCGTTCACCCGCCCACCTCACACACCCCTCCACCGCCCACCATCCCAAACCACGTGCCTCCAGTGGCTCGAAGGGCGGCAACCCTCGCTAGCAGGCAGGAGATTTAAACTAGTAACGACACCCACCATATTTGCTTCCTAACTTATAAAATAAATGCGTGACGTTAAATCTGACCTGCCGGACGTTCCCCACGAAGCGTATATTCTAGGAAAGGCAGGTGGAAACAACCATTATGGAAAAGGTGGCTTTGGTCATTTGGATGATTTAAATATCAATGCATTACAGTGTGAAAAGACAAGAAAAATTGCAGCATACTCCGCAGACAAATGTTGGGCTTGTATCAAAAGGTGAATGGTTTACAAAGATGCCAACTCCGCAGGAAAGGGTTGCACATATGTCCAAGTATGGTCGATAATTGGCTTGTTTGAGGTACTGGCAAGGAATGAATGATTTTACAAGTATACAAATCAAACAAGACAAGTATATGGCAAATAAATCCGACTTGGATCAATATGCAGGGAATAAAGCTACGACGCTTTTGAGACGTACCTGGCATTTTCAGTGTACACTTCATTCGTTAAATTGGTATCTCCAGAAGGAAGGAGATATGATCCACTTTCAATATGATGGGTGCTAGAGAAGAAATCAGTAACTAACACATCGTGAGGTTCCCTGACAAGCAAATCGGTACGGAATTTAACCGTGGATTTGCACATGTCAAAAGAGCACAACTTTAACTAAAATTAGATAAATGAACAACCGATTAGTACGGTGTGTACCAACCAGGATGGGAATGGAACGGACACTCACAAATTCTACGATATTTTGCCGACTTTCGTGAGTCAACTTTTCCAGGAACTGAAGTGCGTAATAAGAGTATCGATCAGCAACGAACACGCCAATGGTAGAATCAAAATGATGCTAAAATTGGTCATTAATTGTATCTGCGTCAAAATACCGCAAAAGAGTCTTCTCCAACTTTACTACTGCCAATTGTGATGACATTTGGAGAATAGACTTGACTTCCCATCGATTCAGCTTGGCAAGAGTCGGTAATAATAAGCATCTCATTGTATCTATTAATGGACAGCTGATAAATTAACACCACACCTGCGACGAAGCCACATTTGGTTGACAACATCGGCTAGTTCGACACTAGATAGCTCATTGTCATCTTGAAATTTCAAGAACCCGTTGCCACCGTGTCCGGTCATGTAAATGAGAATGTTACTGTACTGATCAGTGTTGAGTTTTTTGGATGCGGGTGCCGAGGGCGGCAGACGACCGGTTACGACTCTGATGAAATTCTCAACGGTAACTTCATAGCCACGATAGTCCACCTCAATATCATCACCATATAAATCAATGGGATTGTAGGCACTCTGATAAACGGTCCCCGGGCGCGGATTTCTCATATTGCATGCATATGAATCCCCAATCATGAGAATTATTTGACTACATAATAACGATGGAGAAAACGTGCCACACCTGTCTGGAATTCCCATTCGTTTAATGCTGCGATAAACACCCAAAGTATTCCCCGCATGACGGTAGTTAAACCAAAATCGCGAAGTCTCTACCAAAACGGCCCAGTTATTTGTATGATTAGTGTAGACTAGATTTATTAAGATTATCAGGATCTACATGTCACATTTAGAAACTACGCTCACCAACCCCAGGCGCTTCATCTCGCGCGGTTAACTTAAGTAATGAGTAAAACAAAATATGCTTTTAAGTAATATCGCAACTTTTTATAAATTTTAAATCAAAAACTATGTAAATTTATGAAATAACTTACTTTCTGCGCGGAATTTGTACTTGTTGCCCGAAGACGTCTAGTGGTTTTATTAATGGGTGCTGATAGTGCGCTGGATTTACCGTCCGGTTGGCTATACAAGTGGACAAACTATCTGAAGGGTTATCGCAAAAGGTGGTTTGTTTTAGAGAATGGTTTGTTTTCTTACTACAGGTACATGCCGACCACGACTAACTTCTTGCTAATTAGTAATGCCAGTGCGGTATCTCATACCTGCATGGGAACGATTGACTTAACAAATGTTACAATTTCCCAGAAAAATTCGCCAACGTCTTTTGTTTTACGTGAGAGTCGTGGCCGTTCGTACCATCTGAAAGCCTTGAATGAACAGGATAAAAGACGCTGGCTTGCAGCCCTTACTTCTGCTAAGTCAAAACTTCTCCAAAGTATTAATGGTATTTTCTTCCCTTGAACTTATCAAAATTGATATCCTGGATTTCGTCTAACTTCCTTTTACCATGGTGTTCTACACTTTAATTTTTCTACGGATTTCTTAATTTGACGATATGTTTAGTTTTTTTTTGCCTTTTCGAGCATTATCAATTATTGATAGTCGCTGTCGTTGATTGGCATGGCACCTGCTTTTATTGTTATCTGTTGTAGTTGTCATTAAGTCTTTAGTAGAATAAGGTTTCCTTTTTTAAGATGTGGCTTCGGTAATGGTGCCTTATGGGGGTTCAAAACCTCCATGTAATTTCTTACGCCTGGCTCTATGTCTCTTTGAGTCGTATCTGTGCTGGTTCCGTGGCTTCCTAAATCTTGACTGAAACCATTTCTGATATACACGTTTTTTGATGTTTGATAAAATCTTAAAAAAAATTATACCACGTGATTAATCGTGCGCTTGTCTTACTACACGACTGAGCTTTCATTAAGACGGGACTGCCTTGTTTTTGTGAAGCCCAGGCGGGTACACAGGTATTTTAACTATACAATTTGGTGCCTGCGATTCTCGATTCGTCCCAAAAAAAACTCGATATTTTTTTGATCATACCAATTTGACACAAGCAATTTACGTGACTCTTTCCCGATATTATTACAATATTTTCAGACCCTGAATCTGATAGTTGTTCGGACGACCTAAATTCTTACGTACCTTCGCGACACTCCGCAGGCAGTAACAAACTTGTCCAGAACAATTGTGCTTCCAATTGGCGCTCTTTCCGTCCCTTTCGACGACGCCATCGCCAGATCATTTCCGTTGCCTCCGTATCTGAGGGCTCCGCAGCTGTTGATTCAACTGCTCCAGAGGTCACGACAGCATGTTCGATGGTCAATCGGTCACGTGTTGTAACAACGGCTGTGGGCGAAGTGGTGCCCTCCGATTCTGAATCCGGACCTCCCATGGCTAATGGGTCACGCCTAGTGAAAAGCACTGTGAAGGGTATCGCATGCCTTCAGAGACTACCTACCTCCTCTCCCTCTATTCCTATCACCTATTCCCCTCACCGACGTCGTTGTACAGTCAATTCTGGCTTGACTAATGAGTTACGCGTCACTCGGGAGTTCCAGCATCACCTCAATGCCGTCGACTCGGCCTTCGATAATATGGTCATTCAAGCCAATCATGTCCTCGGCTTTATTGGCGGAATGACAAATGCCTCTGAAGGGGATAGTGATAAAAGTTCTGTCACTGTTTCTCTTTCTGCGTTGGCCAATCTTCAGTCCATTATGGACGAGCTTATAAAGGTAATTTTTTTAGAATTATACCTACATATGGTCTTTGATTTCGATCGCTGTTCTACATTTTAGTGTTCTTTACTCGGCCTTAAGAATTGTTTTATCACTTGTCAAATTTTTAATCGCAAAACCAGAAGTTTCCCCGTATTCTTCCTAGTTTCATGTCAAACTTTTTCCTTCCTCAATATCATGTCTACTGGTGTAAGTTAGAAAGCAGCTAAAGTTGAGCTTTTTTGTAGATGATGTTTCAATAGCCTGCACTTCAGGGCATTCACGCAGGCTCTTGTGCTCAGCACCTGCTCTTATCACTCTACTCGGAGTCATTTTATTTTCGTTATGCGTTTTTTGATGGGGCGTGCAAAACTGATTATTTTGATGCAAATAAAATTGGGATTTTGCGGTTAAACCATTACGTGTGGAAGTAGCCGATTTAATAATTGGCCTAAGGCTGACTGGTCACATTTTGCCTATACATGGCGCTGAAGAATTTTGAATTGCCTTAATGAAGTCACTCACATTTTCGCTGATGAAACAAGTGCTGCTAAATTGCGAAAACACTACATATTAGTCAGTTACGTTACCCCTTTCGATTTGGGCTACTCAAACATTCAAGCCGTTACATCTGTAGCCGAAATTGGATGACACCTCCTCAAATATTTTGGTTGAATCGTAAAATGTGCATACAGTAATACTTCTTTGAATAGTGGTTAACTGTGTAATGGAGGCATTTCTATAGCCCAATATTTGATTAATGCCTCACAGCTTATGTTGCATCTCGGCCTCTTTTATCAAATTCCGATTTATTCTTGTCAAATGTTTTATTAATGTTCATCGCCACGAGTTCGCCTGTTCTGGCCCACCTTTTTGATAGTTACGACTCTTTCTTCCATGGAATACGGTACAGAGTATCTTCTAAGGATTAGCATTGTTAAAAGACGCCTACTGAAAGCAATTCGGAGCCAGTGATGAATTTACACATAAGTGGGTTCTAAGTTATTTTTTATAAAATTGTCCTCTGGAACTGCTCTGAGTACTACCTCTTTTGGCTCGCGTGATATGCGCTTAGCAGGTCTATTTTGAGATAAATCATTTTTGTCCTTTTCTATCATAACTTTGCGCTTGCTTGAGTTAATTGTGTTTTTGTGATCCCGCACTCTTGTCGGTCAAAAGTGAACCTCCTCAATGGGAGTAGTGGTTGGCTTGAGTAGGTATCAACGCCCGTAACTTTTTTACCGAGTTAACTATTGGCAATTACTCATGGTCCTTCGTTGATTACACAAGCCCTTGGCTTGAATATTGCACAGGGAGGTTTGATGAACGAACTTCAGTCGCCTTTTAGCGCATTAGCCTACATCACCTAGATTTCATGCGGCAATGTAACACAAGTCTCGTGACACATATCACTTCAAATTAAATTGAATACATCTCGTTCTACACAGACGATGCTTTCTTCCTCGTCAGCGCATCAGTTTAGTATTGTGTAGGTCACGACATTGTGCCAGTGTTACTTCACTTAATTTAATTGATCTGCGTAACGGTGATGATTGCAATTTGGCTCCAGACCGGAGTTTCCGATATCCGGTTCCCTCAAGTACACTTTTATTATTCCTACGCTCTCATTATCTAGGTTCTACTTGAGCAATGAACTTCACCAGATAGACGATGCGGTTAGGCTCTTATCATCCAATATTTCAACTGATGATATTACCCTTCTTGTGATTGATAACTTTCTAAAATTTGAGACTTGCAATGGTGGCGCAAAAAGTTCTAAATAGAGATTTTCTTTAATACCTGTAATGTATCTTTGTTCTCTCAGCAGATCAAAGCTCTCAGTCGCTTTTGCTTCTATAGGTTGGAAATCATAAAGCACTTTTGGATTGATTCTCGTTTTTTTTATTATGACAGGATTCATTTAAATTCTGTTCTTTTTATGTCTAACCCAAATAAGTTACATTTAAACCCTGACACCATTCATTTGCAGCTTTGGCAGTTATGCATATGTCTTTAAACGACTATTCTACTAAGAATTTCAAAGACAAATCAGAGGCTCCATGAGTTGTCAAGGTGAAGCTAATGTTTGAATTATAAAATCTTTTATTAGCAAATAACGCTTTGTCCATGATTAGATTTCATGATCCTGCCAATCATTTTTTGACTAAGATTCCTAATGTGAATTTGATGGAGGCGTTGAATAATACTACGAGTGGTGCATCGGGTTCTTGTAGACCTGTCAAAAGACTATGGTGGCGTGGACAGCCTCCACGGAGTTGTTCCAGCGTCGGTTGGCGACAGAGTACGACAAGTCTTCACGTCTGGAACGAACTGTAGAGCAATTGGCCAAGCAGCATCGGGCGTTGGAGACGCAGTTCTACTCCAGCTACACCTCCCTCACCAGCAACCGAACTACCTCCCCGCTTTCATCCGATCTTCGCGGTCCCTCCCCTGCCGTCTTCCAGCGCGACGCTGCCCGACGTACGCCGCTTTGCCCATGTCGCCTTAGCTATACTTTGTCACGTCTAAGTGCACTGTGCGCTCGTATTCACTTTCAAATCTTCCATTTGATTGAGGTAAAATCTCTGCTCAATTATCTTTCTGGTACCTAGGAAATATACTACCGTAGATGGTGCTGCATGGCTTGCGAAAAAAACACGAATTGCTCAATATCCTGTCATTTTTTTACTCTCGGATTTTAATGCGATTTTCCTGTACCTTCATTCGAGTATTGTCCCACAAAGTGAGTTTTAACGAACAGCTAATGTCAACTTCGTTTTGGTCAATCTATTTCGTGGTAACAAAGGTACGGCATTGAAAGGAACAAAACTCTTGCTCATTGGATTTAAAACGTGGTCACAAATGTTACATGACCTCCAGTTCTAGTTTGGATTCGTAGGTGTGTTTGTGGGCATGCTTTTGCAGGAATGCACTCATTCAGCAGCTTAGATGATGTGTTCTACGACGCCGAGAGTACCGTTTCGTCGCCCCCGAGCCGTGTAGGTAGGAGTAGTTACGACGGCGGCACCAGCAATGACGCGATGTTGCTACACCCATCGTTCGCCTCTCTGGGCAGCCTTCGCAACGTGGACGAGTCATCGGGCAGCGACGAAGACGATCTGGTCACCGCTGCCGTCGAGGAAGGCATCTTTGCGGTCCCTGGGGGGCGACCTGCCTTCAACACTACCGCCTGCACTCCCCCCACCACAGTAAGTCCCTCTTCTCTCTTCACGTAAATTAACTTCTTGTTGCTTTAATTCCTCCCCGTACTCAAAATTTATTTTACCTCCAAAATAAGTGAACACTGGACCGTGGTTTCATATTTCTTCGCATTCATAATTACAGAGTTGATGTTTGATGATGGTGATACATTCGAATGCATCTAGTTAAGTGTTCTTTGTGTATACAAACTAGTGTTAATGAAGTAAAGGTAGATTAATTATAAACGAATTTACTTAGTCTGAAACAAAGGTGAAATGTCTCGTCAGACTGGATTCAATGCAAAGTACTCGATTTCTTGAATAGAGCAAAAGAAAGGATCGAAAGAAATTGCACTGCTGCTAATTCGGTTAAATAAAACTAGATTCTGACTTAGAAATTGAACTAGACTAGTCGCGTTTAGGTTTTGCTATACTTAAGATCCGCGAAGATGCAAAATGTAGCTTTGTTAGTTTTATCAACTGAACAGGTGATCGGTCGTGCTCATAATCTATAAGCTAAGTGGTAGTGCATGATTGCCACGCATTTATTTTTTCGCTATACTAATACGTTATTCAAGATCACAAAAGTAGCCACTGTGGCCTGTGATCAGAAAAATAAACTGCTATTTGCTTTGCTTAAAGAACATGCATGCAGTTCTGGAGTACCGAGACCATATCCTAAACGCAAATACTGCATATTTTAGTATGTAATGCCTCGTGATTACATATTTCACCAAACACAGCCCATTATTAACACAATTTAACAGCAATTACATCTCACGTTTGATGTTATCTTCGTTTTACTTCTCAAATTTGTCTTCCAAACAACATATTTTAATTCTTCAACTACATTTTACGCTATTTTAATTTGAGGACTATTTAAAACATGATCGTGATTCTACCACTTAAAAGTGTTCAATAAAAGATAGATATGTTTTGTTCCACAAAATCGAATCTTCAGATTTGTGCTACGCTAGCTAGCGCCACAAAAACACCTAGCTTTGGGGAGATCATTACCACGTGTTGATGATGACGTAAAATTTAGCATCTTATGAGTTTGGATGGCTTTAACAGCATTGTGATTGTATTTCTCTCCCCAACCAATAGTACGCAGCTCTTTCTCGTCTCCTCCGTTTTGCTGGAATTACAATTGTTGATAATGTCCGGCTGAATGTCTCCTTTCTGTTCGTTTTTAAATTAAATGAAACACGAAGTATGCATCTTTTAGCCATTTATACTGTTCACATTACTGTTTTTCAAATGAAACCTCGAGTGTCTGAGCAACTCTATCCTTCCTCTAGGGTGCTGCTACGGGATCGATTTGGGTTTTTCAGTGGCAGCATTTCTCTTGATGATTATTTACTGAAGAAAAACTTGCAGACTGTTGCAAAACGACATCTAGGCCATTTTTCATCAAGACAGACATTTCCCCATGCCTATCTGTAAAGGCATAAAATTTGCTTTAATCTACACTTGCACTTTCTTCGAATCTGCGCAGTAGTTTTGCAAGTAATTGCTTGAAAAATCCCACCCACGGCTCACTAAAAGAATCATTGGGGTTTGTTTTAGTCATACATCTGTTTAATTCATCCCTGAAGAAGGTAATTTTCTCCCCTTTGTCCCTGCTTTAACTTTTGACATTCTGGGCTGTAAATTGACTCCCCGTTATTCCTCTCTCCATTGGGTCCTGTCGTGTAATAATTGGATAAGGCCTTGACATATGGAAATGGAAGTTGTTTTTTAATAAAGGAGTTCTTATGGCAGCCTGGTGTCTGAATGCGGAGAACTGAAAAACATACTCCTGACATCGCTAAGACTTGTGTGCACAGCGTTTTAACGTGGAGTGTGTGATTGACCTTGTGTATGTATTTGCTTGCCCATCTACTTGTGTACATGCACGTAAGTAGTTCCTCGTAGGTCGATCACGTTCGCACATCCACACCTATTTTTGCGCGTTCCAGTAGGCATGCCCACACGGCGCTGCTTTCCTGGGGCTGAAACGGGGGTAGGAAGAAGGTAGGGAAGCGAACTGTCGGACATGCATCTTCCGCTACCATTTTCACCCAGCAACTTCCTATATCCCATCTTCAATACTGTACTCCATTTCACTCGCTTACCTCAGGAACCAGACTACTTTCTTTGGAAGTGGTGTCATTCACACGTCTTTTAAAAAAATGGAATCACTGCTGCCACCAGCGTGTGCTAATTTCACATTATTATTCAGTTGAAAGAAGAGCTATGATTAGAGATAAGTGTTTGTGTCTGTTTGCCTTATGATGTTTCGCTAATTATTCGTTGCAGTGTCAGCCTTCTTGTCATTGCCGTTCCTACATCTACTGTCGAAAAGCTGAAAAATGTCCCACTTCGGTATTGTTTAAATCACTCATTGTGGTTTGATTTAAAAGGACCACAACAGCGTGCTTGCTTGGGCTTTTACATCATTTAAAACTATTAATCGGACCGCGTAAACAAGTTGTGTCATAATACATTTCATCGAGCTTGAAAGTGTTCTTTGGAATTTACAGTGGAGTGCGATTTCTTACCTGGGTTCATTTCCTCACCAAAACTTCGCTCCCTTGTCTGCATCCCTGTTGGATTTTCTAAGCATGAGACATTCCAAACTCTTAATCTAAGTCGCCTTATTAAGTTACATTTCTTCATCTTTATCACTAGACAAACAAAACTTAAAGCTGCCATTTACGACATACTGCTTCTTGCGCTTTAATTCTTAGTTGAAACCTAACACAATATGTCGACATTATATTTATTTTCTTGATGTTTTCCAAGCTTACTAAAAGGCAGTCCTGAAAAAGTGGCCTGGAGTAGCTTGTGCCTATTTCTTGAGCGTAAATGACCTGTTTTCCAATCCGGATAGTATTATCGCGTAATTTTGAAAACAACTTTTGAACGATTGATTTGCTTGTATTATCGAAGCTTCTGCCCCTTTTTTCGCATCTCTCATTTTTATAAAGCAAAGCAATTAAAACGATTTTGTGTTGCTGACGCTTTCTATCGTCTTATCCACCGAGAAGAATGCTTTCATGTTTCTTTTGGGCGAATACCTGCACCTATACTGCAACCTCGATGTCAAATCCACACTTTAAAAATTTAACTCAAGAGCTCCGCACATTGAATTGAATCAGCGAAACATATCTGCTTGGAACAAATAACTCCACGTTGCTTTTGCATGGTTTCCTCTACATTCTGAATAATCCTATACGATAAAGAAATAGCGAAGTTGGTTACTTATTTTCTCTTATGCCATAGCCCTTTATATGATGTTGTGTTTGAATGCTAAAATTTCCTGTCACTAAATAAGGCGGATTGGAACAGCGTTTTTACTTTATTTTTAAATTTCCCACCTATCATGCTGTTGAATTTGAGTGCCGAGATTGAACGATTTTGTGGAACTAATTTGCCTAATGTTTGGAATCCCTTGTGCGTTTGTGTGTATGGGGGTGCTTGCGTGAAAACTGAGGAATCCTGCGGTGAGACTATTATGATTACGTGACCCTAATGCCCTCTCGCCGGGATCACCCGGAGGTTGTCTTGGTCTGTTGGTTTGCGCTGATAAACAGAAGATTGTGTGCTTTTACGGAGCCCGTGAACACAACAGGTCTGATACATAGAAATCGCGAATGTATCCACACTTCTGCCTCGCACACGCATCTCTATGCCACTGTCACGACCTGCTTCGACCCTCATTGGTCACTCGGCGTCAGTGATGTTGGCGCAAGCCACAACTATCACTGCAGTCGCTCGTAGCCAGCCACCTGCGTTTGTGTGTAATCGTCTCTCTTATCTCTGAGGCGTTCTCTTGCTCACTGCAATCTCTTCTCTCCAATCATCCAAACACCCCTAATGGTACGTACCTGCATGTTAAACCGTTTCCAGTAGCGAATTACTGTTTTCACACATATCTTTCGTTGCCTTTTATCTCATTTGGTGACAACCTGACGAAATAGTGCTGCAGATGCGCTTATTCATCAATGTAAAGTGTGTAATTCTTAGTGTCTTGATAATTTGAGCATGAATATCGCTGAGTTCAAAGCATGGAAAATATGTGAATACCTTGCATCAGCTCATTTTCCCCGCGCTTTCTTTGTGGTGGAAAGGGTGTTGTTTATTTTACCAATTCCTCTCTCATTAAAACCTCCTTGCTCTAGTCTAGAGTCTCACTATTCACCATCAAATTTCAAAATATATAATACCCTTTTTTATTTCAGACGGCACAAGGTTAAGCTGATACACACTTTTGTGAATAAATTAGCCTTGTCACCTTGTAAATTCTGACAAGACCTCTCACCTGATAATTTCGTTAGTTCTCAAATCCGATTGTTCGAATTCTGGGTGGGCTCAGCTGCTGTTTCTGTACTTCCATTTCGATGTGATCCAGAACCATATATGATATAATTTCATTTTATTAGAAGGCATGTTTTCGGTCATGTAGATATAAAGCTGTTTTTTTAAGTTAGACCACTCTTGTCCATGAATTTTGCAAAAGGTGCACTTTAAAACGGGTCAAAATCACATTCTACTCCGGAGAACGTAGGAGAAAATTTTCAAGAATAATTATTTTGAATATTAATAATTCCGGGATTGTTTACCGGCGTAACTAAGTTTGTTTCTCTACCAAATGACTTGCTTTTAATTTTCTGGAAAAATTTCCGGTGGTTTTGAAGCCCTGCGAAAAGTGCAGTCTTGAAACCTTGCTACATTTAAGCTTCGCACCAATTCTGATGTTCGGCAGTTTTTTGTGGCCACAGCGTTAGTATCAGATACGAAGGCAAGACCGACAAGTCAGTGTCAAAACTACAACTTCATCCAATTTGTGCTGTGCGTTGTGTTGCCCATCCAAATCGTGGTGATGAGTCGTCGCCGCAGCCGTTGGTAAATCACACGAATAAGATGTCCGTCCTGACTTGACAGGCTGGCGTAAAGGTGGGATTAGATCCCGCATACGTCGGTACCTATCGGTCACCCAAAACTAACCTGGTGATTGGCCTCCTCTCTCCGCTCTAGGCTCGAATGAATAGGGCAGGGGATCGGGGAGCGAAGGATGAGGACTCGAACGAGGGAAGAGATGGTGTTGCCAGGTCTCCGGAGGGCTCTGCAGTGAGTCCCAGACATCAGCGCCGGACCTCCATACCACCTCGACCGCGCATCTCCCTGAATCTCTGGGGTGTGCTAAAGAACTGCATTGGCAAGGAGCTCTCCAGAATACCTCTTCCGGTGGGTTTTTCATTCAACAACTAAAGGGGATGTTCTCTGCTTTTGTATTTGTGCACTACTTTTTGCAAAATACAGGATTGTATGGTGCACTATACTCCTACTTAACTCTAATCTTCCAAAATTGTGCATATAGCTTGAAATTTGTGTGTGTATGCATTGTGTAGTTTTTTTATTCGCTTGTAAATCAAGGTGTTGCCATGGAAGGAAACAAGCAGTACACTGTTATTCTTACTCTGTTGGGCACAAACATTCAGCGTGGTATTTATAAAGCATTAACCTCCCTTTTCGGTTATATGAGTACTCTTTTACGTAACTGATATGCTTACCAGCCCGTTTTTACAGCTCATTTCGGATATAGTGAGCAAAACGCACCGTTGCTATTTTTAAACTACGCTCTTCTTTGTTTGGTTGAAAAGTACATCAGTTGTCCAGTCGGTGCTCTCAGAACAGCGCCTTGATGGTAACAGTCCTCCACATTACCGGGCTTAGCGTAAAATGTAGAAATTTTCTAAAGGTGTGCTCAATACAGGCACCGGTATACAAACTAAAGGTGAGATTTTTATGTGCATGGAAGTAGTTGTAAAACGGTTCGATTGCACCGAGATTAAGGCGGTGACCTTGAATCTAAAAAATCGTAATCTGTGCATACGGGCAATGGAATGTCCTGAAGAAATCGCTGATGACTGTTTTGCCTATCTGCAAAATACCTTTTGCATAACTTAATAACGCCCTTTGATTTCAAAATCAGTGGGTGGGCGCGGAGTGGATATTTCGGATTTACTTCTTCAAGAGTTCTGAGTGTGCTTATGGCTACTATGAGTTTAACACAAAGGCGATTTGTATGTCAAGTGTTACCCATTCTGAAGGCAAATTCCTGATTCCGATGCAAAGGAAGATGCTGTGTTTCGTGCCAAAAATTGACGTGACAAGTTTTATGTAGGCGCATGCATACATGCCTCGTTATTTTTTCGCATCAACCAAGTAGAATCCGGGGCTACAGTAAGCCGCATAATTTCTTCACCCTTCGTACACCATTGTAATCTATCTATACTGAAACTATTGAAGTATGCAACTCTTAAAGTGCTGCTAATTTTAATGCCCCCGCTTTTGAATTTTAGGAAATAAAGGAGAGCGTTTCATTAAGCCACCTTAAGCGTACTGGATTTACAAATGGCAGAGCACTTTTTAGGCTTTCCGTGCCTCATGCAGTTTTTGAATGCTCACGGTAGGTGAACTTCAACGAACCGCTATCCTTTCTGCAACGCGTGACAGAGGACCTGACTTATTCCAAGTGCCTCGACGAAGCGGCTCAGGTGGCAAACACCGATCCGGTGGGACGAATGGCGTGGATCGCGGCATTTTCAGTCTCCTGCTATGCCACTACTGCGGTGCGCATGAGCAAACCCTTCAATCCCCTCCTTGGCGAAACTTACGAATGCGATCGCTCCGACGACTTTGGTTGGCGCAGCTTCGCTGAGCAGGTGGGTGGTCCTTCCCTTTCTTCTTCTCCTCTTCTCGGTATCATTGAAATTTATTTTGCTCTTTCCAATGTGGTCGAATGATCTTTGGCTTTGGGTGATTATTTCCTGCTCCTTTGAAAGCCCCCCGTTTACGGTCCTTATTTGCGCTTCAGTCTAACTGTCTTCATTGCGGAATTTCTGTGGTTGTTTGACTGTCAAGCCTGTCTATTACGTATTGTGCGAATTCTCTTCATCACATGAATTGGTGAAGCTCTGAGAAAGCCCAGTATTTACCTCACCCATGTGTGTGTGCTCACGTAGAACCTTTTTCTTAATGCAGGTCAGTCATCACCCACCGGTGGTTGCCCATCACTGTGAGTCCATTCGCTACGGCTGGAAGTTCTGGCAGGAGTTCACTGTGAACAGCAAATTCCGTGGCAAATATCTTTCACTTATACCTAAAGGTAAGCTGTGTATATTATTCCTCCGTGAATCTTTTCGTCTAATTTAAATGTAGACGAGTTTTCTCGGTGTCCCAGTTGTCATGCCCCTGATGGCCTTCAGATAGAGTGTCTAAGGCCTTGCGATTGATTAACATAGTCATTGGCAACGAACTTGCATTGTGAGCATCGAAAGTACCCAAAATCACTGTCTATTTATTGACACTTTCTGGTGCTTTTTAAATCTAATTGTCCTGGCTACTCCTCCAAAGATGTAGATACGGATTCGCGTGGATTAATCTCCCATTTTTTAACTTTTATGGTTTTTCATCCTGAAAAATTACTACTGAACTGCTGTTCACCTAAGAAGCTTTCAGCGCTTTCTCACGCTTCTCTCCTTTGCAATTCCATAGTTCTTTCTTTTCAAGAGGGAAAAGACGTGTTCTATTGTTCCTATATGAAATACATGAACGCCTAAAGTTGAATTTTGCTTATCCAATGGTTGTACAAACTTGTCTTCAAACTCCTTCCCAGTCCCATAAGAAGATCGCACTATTTGTTTCTCAAAAAGTCTCTTTACAGCTTTTTGCTAAGGGGGGGATGATTGATTAGCATCCCTGGGGCCACTTTTTAGAATGCTATGTTATGAGAAAAGGGGTGCATTGAAACGCTTTGGTTCTCCTCGTTCCAGGGGGTACTCATCTCCTCTTCAAGGATGGTCAGCACTATACGTGGTCCAAGGTGACAATCACGGTGCACAATATCATCGTAGGGCGGCTGTGGGCTGAAATTCACGGCGAGACCGTGATAAAGAACCACAACACCAATTACACCTGTCGCATGCACTACGAGGCGCACTCTTACTTCTCCCGTGACCCAGGTCGACAGGTGCGTGGCTTCTTCCTATCATCCTCTAATACCCAAACACACCCCTACCAAATAGTAGTTCTATATACTACTCTTGTGTCATTGAATTTTGCTTTCTATGGCGAGCATGTTTCATCTCTGTTTCCCCTAATCAATGTCTGATCATTCTTCTAATGTGCTACCTCAGGTAGAAGCAGTCACTCCAGCTTAGGAGCTACGGTAATCAGCGCAATCTTGTTACAAACGTCAAGCTAAGTTTAGGAGTCATGGACTGTTTCCTCAACTTTGGTAATATGGTAAACAAATAACTCTTATTTGCATTATTTGAATTATCTTAGGTTTATTTTCCCCCAAAGAGGTTTGGGCCATCGTTTGCACCTAATGTGGTTCAAGTTAGTTGTATAACTAGTTGGCCTAATCGGTAAGCATGTTTAACAAGGGGCACTTTTCCATTCGATATTTCACAATCACTTGATCAGTAGGCTCTATGGTATCAAATTGGTCCTAACTGAATGTAAGAAGGTAAATGTTTTGCCAACTGTGTTGTTCCCAAGTTTTTAGATGTTCTGCTTTTCATTATTCGAAGTCCCATGACCCAATGCTTAAAAAGGATTACGTGCGTTTTACTCAACTATTATTGTTTTTTCATAAATGATGTATCTGCTGGCAATTGGTTGAATTTCCATTCTTCATCGATTCTTGAAGTACACTTTCTTCACATCCTTTAAATTAACTTTTAAATGCAATAATGTGAGTTCATAGCGTTATATGTCGTGAGGACAGCTGGATGAATAACTGCTTGCAATCTTATTTAAATGGTGTGCACAATCCTGTGAGGAATTTATAAGTCAATTGCGTTTCATCTATGTTGTTTGTGCTTGCCGCTATCAGCTTATGCATGAGTTGTCACCACGAGAAATGCCGTTTGAGTATCGGGACATTTCATGATGCACCGTGAAATACTTTGCAAATATTTTAGTTTGGAAATGAACTTACCTTGGTTTTAATCGTTGCTTTACGGACTGTTGCTGACTTAAATGAAGGCTCGAGCCATGCTCCTGATTCCTTCTCTGCAACGCACTTTCACGGTTTCTTTTTATTTAAAATGGGAAAACCATTTAGGGCGCATGCCAGCCCCTTTCATTACTATAATTTCTTTCTTTTGAATGCTCATAGTCTTTAGTATTTTTTTCTTTTGAGATTCTAGTCGTCATTTTGATATAATTTTGGAGGTTTTTTCTGCCAATTTAATATTTTTCTTGAATTTTTTCACTACCGTCGTAGACATTCATGTATGACATGTGGAGCCTTAAGTGATATTTATCTTGTACTATGCGCACGGAAGAAACGTTTTTCACTCGTACAACAAGTCTCAATCTTTACATTTGAAGCTGTGATGTGTTGACTTTCATTTGCGGTACACGCATAAGTTTTCTCACGAAGGTGCCTCGGTAGCTAGCGAGGTTCAAGCACTGAAACTGTACTTTATAGCGCTTTTATAATGAAGACAGTTCACTAAAAGTCCAATGAGGTAGCTACAAGCGGTAGGAGAATTTATGAAGCTTAAACTGAAAGCGTGCTTATGAGAATTGTGCGGTAGTAAAAGGTTGTACGAAACGCACTTGCCTGAACACACTTTTGGTGGTGTCTTCTGTCACCTTTTTTTCTTTCAAAACGCGAGTGCTTTATCGCCTTCTTGCACTAGAGCAGATTTAGATTGGCTGCGATCTCATCGCCAATTAAAACGAAAGCATTGCTGACATTCCAATAAGATGCTAACTTTTGGTTTCTGTGAGATTCTTGACGCGGCATGGCAGAAGTTTTGTACTACATTTCCCAGTTTCCACTTTTTTAAATGCTTATCAACGGTCTTATTTGCGTTGAGAATCTTTTCACTGCAGCTATGCCAGGCGTTTTCAAGGTCGAAAGCCCTAAAATCGCCTTAGTCCTTTAATTCTTACTTGTTTGTCGCTGCGTGCAGCGTACCTTTAAAGTATATTCCACCAACCGCATCCACACTGAAAATAGTTTGTTCTATTTTTGTTTAAATCTGTCTTAAAGTAAGCAATTAACTTATATGCGATTTCAGTATCTCTGCAAGGAAGAAATTCATTGCGGCTCTGAAAGTTCATTGTTGGATCTTCGATACACGCTTTTTATGCGAGTCGTAAAATGAAGCAGCGATTAATCGAATGGCTATATTTTGTGAATAGGCTGCAGTAAATTAGTTGCAAAATTTTGTAGTCTCTACTACCCGTATTTGTCTCTTCTTTCCTTGCCTTAATATTGTGCAAATTCTATTCCCATTGACAAAGTTTTTTGTTAAGCCTTTTTCGCCATTTTGCATGTGCTGGCGGCGCTGGCCGCTATCTTTAGTATCTCCGTGCTCGTCCTAGCCACACGTGCGCGCTCATGCGTGCAGATGCAAGGTAAAAAGCGCAAACCCCCCATCCACACGCACGAGCTCAGATTTTGAATTCACGGTATCCTGCCAACGTATTCAGTCTTAATGGCACTAGAGTTACCCCTGAAATCGAACCAAACAAACCTCTTCCTCTATCATATACCGAATTCATGCATTAACGAAATGTGTGTTGAGCCTCATGACATACTCATCCTCCGGTGATGTGTACCATCCTTAACAGGTGAGTGGTTTCATCTATGACCCTTCGGGCACTTTGGTGTACAAACTCAGCGGCAGGTGGGACAACCACGTAGAGGGCTGCGCCGTATCCCCAGATGGAACACCCAAGGGCTCATCCACTGTGCTTTTGGTTGTTGAACCGCCTCCTCCCAACTCCGAATCGGTAAGCTCAATCGTCTTTCTTCATTGCTTTACTTTTCTTCCTTGGGGTAGTGCATCATGATACCTGAAGGCTATCACTTTGTACTTATGTAATAACCCTAAAACTTTCAATGTATCATCAGAGCAGTTGTGCAGATCTTTGTTTACGGTCATAGTTACCCACTAGAATGAAAATAAAATTTTGCTTCTTCAGAGAAGTCTTCTAAGTGGGTAGTTATTGTGTAGATTACCGTAATTAGTTGCATAAAGTTATGCAAGCTAGAAAAATGAAAGCCCCAGTACTAATTATCGTCTCTGCGCTTTGTTTATGTACTGTTCTAGTTTTTATGCACTGTAACCTGTGTAGCTTGCCGTATTGGTTTCGCCTTAGTGGTATGCTGCTGCCCAAGAGCACTGTGTGCTGTAATTTGATACATTGCAAGCGAATCTATAAATGCCATCTCTTGTAAAAGTGAATATGCGATGCTGTTAGATTTTCGTTCTCTTTTTCAGACCCAAGTGTGTCTTATATGATGTTGTTTAATCCTCTCCATGGGTGGACGGCAGCGCAGTAGAACTTGAAATCGACTTGTCATTTGAGTGGATCAGTGACTCACCAAAAGCCTATTTTCTTCAGATGTACAATTTCAATCAACTTGCCATTGAGTTGAACGAACCCGAGCAGGGCGTTGCGCCTACTGACTCGCGTCTCAGACCAGACCAGCGGTTGATGGAGCTCGGCCGGTGGGACGAGGCGAACACTGAGAAGGAGCGCCTCGAGGTGAAACAGCGACGCAAACGACGCGCATGGGATCTCTTCGAGGCAGGAGGTCAATTTGCATTTCTGTTTACTTACAGCTTCAAAAGTAGCCTGTATTTACACACTGGTGTCAATTTGTGCTTCTACCCTCCGACTGCTAGAGGAGCCTCTAGATCCCGAATGTGGGCCACCATACACTCCGGTCTGGTTCTCCTCCACCCATGATACCTACTTCGACGAAGACTGCCACGAATTCAACGGGACATATTGGGTGGCGAAGGCGAAGCAGGACTGGTCAAAGTGTCCCAACATCTTCTAGTCTTCCCGCTTTCTTCTGCATTGGCTGTGATCGAATCAGGTTTTCTCTCCCATGACTTCCCACTCTTTTTTGCTCTCCTTGCCTCCATCTCCTCCCACTGCCTGTTTTTTTGTCTTGACATCTATTTTTATTAATCTAAGCAAGCTACCCTTTGTTCTCCCTACTCTCATCACCCCAACGCAACTGCTGCTGATGTAGAAAACTAAAAGGCGCGATTTCTCACTTCCTCAATCCCCTCCCTTATTTTCCATGCTTTCTCAGTGTACACAGTTGTTCACTAGCTCCTTCCTCTGAGCCCTGGGATGCTTTTGGTGTGTTTATAGACATGTGCTCATATTTTACGAAACCAAGTCTTTCTATGACAATAATTCCTTTCAATTTTCCCCTTTTTGCCTCCGTTCAAGTGTTTAATTCTCATCTATCGTCTCTTCATTCATTCCCTCTTATGGAATGTTCATCACTCTTACCTCTTGCATATTAAATCATTACCGGTAACGACTGTCTACCTCAATTTCTTTCTCCACTCCGTGAGTTCTTGGGCAAAATCTTGTTATTCAGATGAGGATTTTTAATTTCTAAATCTCAAGTTAGCTCTATATTAGCCATGCTTGACCCTAACAAAATGTTTTTATCTATTGTAGCTACAAGGTTTAACCTTAAAACTATTAAACATAAATGTTTCTATTACAAGAAAGTGGTATGATAATAATCTGAAAAAAGTGGCTGAAAATAACGACTTGCTATGGGATTATTCCTTCAATGAACAATTTTACCCCATGCGACAATAACTTGCCTAAAAGTATCTTTTCGTTTTGACTTGAGAACAAGTAGTTGCAGCTAGTTTCGGGGGGCTACTGTTACCTTCTCTGGGTTTTGATGGATTTAGGCGGAACATTTTATCTGTGCATCTGATAGTAGAGGTCTGCCAACGAGTTTATCCTCGATTTTCCTCAAGCAGTTGTTTAAGTTATGCAAATCATCCCTTTTGAACTGGAATTAATATCACTTCAACCTAAATGATCGGTTCAAAACCCACCCTGTTTAACTGTTTTTGGGGGAGGAACTTATGAGGTGGGAAAGACTTATGGTCTTGATTGTGATAACCTTACCGTCCCATTTCAGCTCATTAGGCATTTTGGGTAGCCAAGGTTGAATCATGCCACAGAGATGATAAAAGAGTTTTATAGCTGTCAACTATCTGCTGTTCTAGTTTATCAAGTGGGGGTTTCAAAATAGTTCTCAACTCCCCTGGACGATTAAGCTGTCCCACTTATCCATCCAGGAAGTTTTCTCTCTTGCTCCTTTTCGCGTGTACCAAATTACTTTCTGTTTTAGGATTCAAAGATTAAAACTCCTGTAGTTATTTGGTACCTCGCAAATTCATGTTTGGAGATACTGGTACACCCAATCTAAGTAAAGTGAAATCTTTTCAGTTTCCGTGGCTATTCTCACGTACTGACGAGGGGCACCTTTTCCTACTAAATAGTCGGTTATGACTTCTGCACCGACATTTTTAATGTGTCTGGAAAACTTGCATGTTCTTCTCTAATAAAGAACTTTGCTCGCTTTGAGGATGTTGCGAATGTGTGCCATTGCTAAAATTTTTGTATAATTTATTATCCATTATTCATGAAAATTGTTTGAAACATGCAGCACTTTTCCAGGTCTCTTGAAAATCTTTTCGGTAGCAGTTTGTCCATCTGAGCACAATTTCTGGACGAACCTGTACCGAAGCCATGCTTACCTGAAAGACAAAAGTGTTTATAATCACTTATGATTAATTTTTAAATTTTGAATATTACAGCGACCCTCAACTTGATCGAAAGTGATGATGATATGTGTGGCAATAGTTTTTAGGATAAATACCCAATCGTCAGACTTTTCGAAAAAATTTCTGAATCTTTACGACGGATACATTACTTCAACAGCGCACAAATCTACCATTCCAAAATTCTAACTTCCTGATTACCGTGTTTATTTGCAGCACTACCAAATCTGAATCGAGGCTTTAATACGTTCGAGCTCTTGGATACTCCGCTTTTACACGTAAAGCCATTAGTTTTGAATGGTTTTTCTATCATCATGGACGGAATCCGTCACCTAGTGTGCAACGCAATCAAAAATCTGATACAGCTAGAAGTATGGTGCAAATGGCATAACTCAGTTTCTACGAGAATCCTAGACCCAGAACGTCACTATAGGTACTTGCTCTGGTCACCGTAATGTTAAAAGAAAAGTGTCATTTTATTCAAATTTTCCGCTCATAATAGCTTAAAAGCATAAAAACCAGCTCCCCTAACTAACCATTTTTTAACAATAAGTTAATCAAACCTACCTGGGGATTCCATTTAAAGAGCAAAGTCGGAATCTACATAGTCTCAGCACTTAATATCTTTCAAGTTCCAAGTTATTGGCACCGGCCAAACAGCATCAGCTTACACCGTGTGGGAGTGATGGAGGTAGGTGAGTACGGAGGAGGGTTAATAACAAATTAGCAGGATCAAAATGGGTGTATCAGGAGAGTGTTTAGTTAGGACAGGTTGACGCCCTGGTGACTCTTCAAATTGTCACGCTTTACGCTTACCTACTAGTGTGGCCGATAGTGACTGATGGTGCTACGCCCTCACTGTTCTGTCTATTTAGGTGAGTTATTTGGGGGAACTGAAGGCTCTGTTTCATCTCAAAAACGTGGTTAACATTTGCCCACCTTTATCTGAGCCAATTCATAATGCTCGAAGTGGGATTGAAGTTATTGCTCCCATTATGATTTATTGAAATGCAGCTCGTCATCCTCTTTTTAGATTACTTAAACCGCTGAAAGCACTTCCATACTAAAGCCTAAATGTCATGTTATTTTATTTTTTGCATTTTGCTTCCTTAAACCGGAGTTTTACGCAAAAAAAGAAACATTTTATGCTAGAACTGGGCGAGAAAATTAGCATTACTTTTGTGATTAACGGGTGAAGACTAATTCAAGCCATATATATTTTAAGGAACCATTAATTAGCACTATCCGTGTTGGGAAATCAGTGGACATGCAAAGACAAGCACTTACAGGTGTTGGGATCCCTCAGGACAGCATAAATACCCTAAAACATTCAGATTTTTTTGCCAATCATACGATGGCTCTGATGGCAAACTTTCATTAGATACTAGTTTTCGAACAAGGAATGGAAAACTTGAGTGGTAGCAGAAGTAAACAGGTCCAAAGTCAATGCGAAAAATAGTTTGGATGCTAATTTGCAGTATGAAGAAGCAAAATGTTATGTTAGTCTTCTTTTAATGTCGCACGAACTCAAAAACGTTGTTTTGAATATCCAATTCTCCCATAAAGGTCGCTTCCTTGAAATAATTAGTCTGCCCATCAATGACAGGCTGTAAGTATCATTTTTGTTATGTTTCTGTTGATGAAGGGGCAGGCTTCTTTAACTGATCCCATCATTCTAGAAGGATTCTACTTTTATGTTGAGTACTATTACGATAACTATAGACAACAGTCGTGAATGAGACGTCGAATCTTTTTGAGATGGAAACATGACCTTGTCAGCTGAACCAACATTCGAAATTGAAGTCCCCAACTTTCACGAATTTAGTAACAATATTCCACTTTTCGGCCACCTTTTAAAGTCACTTGATGCAATAAACTCTAACCGATAGATTCCGGTAGTTTTTATCGACTCATGATGTATCGAGAAGATCGTGAAATAATGGGGAAGAAGCGGACTACCTGAAAAAGTCCGTCGATAAACATACTTTACCTGCACCGTCACGTAGATACTGTCAGTCTTGCCTACGGTTACGGGTGGCAATAAGCTGAGGCATTTGCTCAGCTGTCTATCAAAATCTGTGAAATTCATTTAGCACGATCCCAACGACATTGAACAAGGTAGTGCTAGCAATGTCACATTATGCCACACTTTTCCCATATCTTTAGCCGAAAATATTAATAACTCATTTTATTAGTTTGTACCGCCTTGAGACTGCTCTGAAAACCAAAAGAGGCATATTACTAAAGCAGAATATGTACTATCGACACAGACGAGTTGGAAGACCACTGGCCTGGCCCAGGGGCCACGCCGCCCAATGGAATTACAATCGCGAAGTCTTAAGTGGTCGCAAAACCAAAACAAAGAGTTAAACAAATCATCAAAATATTACAATTTATGTGGTTTAGAATCTGCGTTTATCAACGTACTTCAGATTCCCTTTTTGAGCGCGATTTTTAGACATAGGGGCTCATCCCCAATAATCACTGTGCATTTAGGCCCAGTGACTATGAGGAAGGTTTCAGTAATCTTCGAGAAACCGAATCTACACGTTCGGAGAAATGGTGGCGTAGCAATGAATGGTTGACAAACCTAGATTTATATAAGCGTAAAAATCAGAAGATAATAATCTGTAATATCAATGCTTAGCCTGCACTCAGAGCGCGTTACCGCCTCCTTAGTCAAACGGTGAATTCCAGGATCTCAAATGCAAAAAGGGCACATACGCAAATTTTATGATGCACATTAAGGTTAATATCCAAGAGCTGCCTGTGCACTGTGTGCTTTGTATCATTTTTTATAAGGAGATGCAGCCCTAATTTACCTCCTATTAGACCACTGACTTATTGGAGTGTTTAAGTTTAAAGGTAGCCTATTAGGGTTAGTGCGCAGATGGGAGAAAGCATCTATGTTGTTAATTGGGGTCAGTAAGTAAAATCCTGCACAATAGGTTTGTTAATTTTTCTTACTTAAGTACCGATTGCTAAGTTTTTAAAGATTCTAATGTTTGCCATGTGCACTAATACGTTTGCTTGAAGAACCAATACTGGACAGTTGTATTTACCCACTTTTATGATCTTGTAGTCTTTGTTATCCCTTCAACGTCCTCAAGGATAGCCCAGGCAGTTTATTGAAGAGAATAGTTACCTAAGCTAAGAAAATCCAAAATTTATTAAACGCTGATTTTCCCCCACCTTAGAAATTTCATAGTGTTGAACACTAGTTCTTAGAAGGAAAAAGGCGCATTTCATTAAAGCAACGTCACTAAAACAAATTGGCTCCAATTTTGACTTCAGAAATGGTATTTCACTTACATTCCACACATTATACGTGACTGCAGTTAAGTATAACTACTAATTAGTATAATTCTGATTTCTTCTGATACAAATTAAACTAATAGAGGACCCATTACTAGAAAAATTTGCGCAAAAATGACAGGTTTTAGCTTGTTGCATTCTTTGTTGGAAAAACTAAACATGCATAAGTGGTTTGCAGTCAAAATAATCCCCCTTCCTTGATGGTATTTAAAACTACCTCATATGAAGACGATTAAAAAATTTAAGGAAATGAGTCATGTTTGGATAATATGAATAAAGCGTTCAATAGGATCTAACGACAATTTTGGATAAAAAGATGAAAGTGATTATCATTTGAGCATTATGTCTTCTATTGATCATTTGTCAGTTGAAATAAATCATCGTATGATTCCAAATTCGAGGTAACAGAAGATTGGATTTGTCTTTTTCGAACCACTGTAGCAAAGATGACCGTTTTACCTACAATTGACAATACAGGAACTTAATAATGGATTAAGGAATTAGACCTTGGCATTCGAGATCCTTCAAATAATAGGAAACAAGGATTAACCAAGACTTTTACAGCAGTACGTTTAGGGCAATGCAAACTCAAAAATTCGTTGCCATTCCAAACTTCCTAGCCATTTGAAAAAACAAGGCCAGAAAGTAATTGAGGCGTATAGAATAACTTCATACACTTCGGGTTATAAAAATGGTCCTTGTGGAATTAATGATGTTTTAATACAGCGTTAAAGCTGTAACATGGATGCAGTGAAATCACCTATGCTCATAAATGTTGTCGAAGTTATCAAAGAATTCATTTCACTATATTTCCTGTTCTGAGTTTAGATCGAAATTTTAATTACATTATATTACAATGGATCCAGAACTTTGAAAATCATTTCCACTCCACGTGGTTGAACCATCAGATAATTACCACTCACAATAGGGCATTTTTGCAGACAGTACAATGAAAACATTGTAATGTGACATCGGTGTGGAATAATGATCATGGTAATGCTTCCAAATATGCAATGTTACCTATTATTACTTCCACTAATGTATCATAAAGTTAACTCACTCATGTTTAATGCCTTTTCTGTAATGCAAGATCATGCAGCATGCAAGCTTGATTTTATTTATCCAAAAAACTACTCATTCAGAGGCAAAATTTCTTCTGCACAACGAACATGTCATGGCAACCACCTATCTATCTCAAAATTTATTTTTTCAGGCATGAAGTTTGGACTTTAAAGAAAATTTAAAAATAAGCAGATTAGTGTTAACCCAGCTGTAATATTGGTGCGTTGGGTTTGATTGTTACAAGTAACAACTAATCACAAAGCATGTGAATCTTCTGTGAAGTCCACGAATTAAATCCCAAAATTGCGTTTGTGTATTCATTATCGTGTTAGAAGTGACACCAGTAAACAAACCTCCGAACTAATTAGTCGCGATTGGGTACGTTCTGAGGTGAAGCCGCGGTTATCAAGGATTGGAACCATCGAAAAAGAAATCTAACCCCTGAGTATTAGGTTAAGCCATGAAGCACTCCAATTAAAAAAAGCCATTTCCAATTTTTATTTATGAACTACTTTTCGCAAAAACACATTTTTTATCCTGTTATTGCTGGATGTACACAAAGCTCTCGCAGTCTTCTCGTAGGCTAGCGATCGGCCTTAAACAGGAACGTTTGGGCTTTGCTTCTTTAAGTTGTGGGACAAAATCAAGTGATGGCCACACTTTATCGGCAATCTCATGATAATGTATAATCTGGCTAACTGATACCATCAAAAGAATTTAAAAGGTATGTTGAGTGACACTTCGAGGTAAAAATACATTCGTAGTATATGCTACTGTAGCGGCCCAAGACTTCCCTGAAGACGATAGAAGACAAGATACTCTGGCAGAATACTTATATGAATTCGACATACAGAGAGGCTTAGGGAGACTGGCATGGCTTGGAGGCCGGGCTGCTCGGCGAGGGTACAATGGTGAAACCCCTAAGTAGCCGGTCACTAAACCCGAGAGCTAAGAAATAATTTTAGTACTACAATTACATACACCATAAGAGTTAGGTGGCCTGTTGAAAGGATCTCATGAAACCGAGTAAGTGGCTTCACCAGGTCATCTGTATGTTCCTAAAAATTTTGACTTTAGAAAGCAAATGCACATTTCAATCGAGTGGGTTGATTACGCTGAATAAATTATGCCGTCCGAATGTAGCCATGCTTAGATTGCAACATCATCAAAATTAATTTTTAAAAATGCAATTCCCATTGTTGTATTCCAAAGTTACTGTAGTTGAAATTTACTTCGTTGAGGACCCACCATTTGTCTTTTCATTCAACCGTTAACATGCGTTCTTTGTCCTTGTAACCGCCACAGATGAACAATCACCGAAAATGATTGGCTACTTTAAAATATGCCAGCAGATAAACTGCGTTATTCTAATCGTTGGCTAAACATAATCGAGAATTGCATAGCTGCAATTACATGTTTACTTTTTATAATCTTCGCTACTACTAAATGCTTCTTCTCCTTTAAAGACCCAAATAATCATTTGGGTAAACAATAACTGGTAGCATAATCCTAATATTGGTGAAACCAGATCTGCGATGGGAAAGTGAGCCTTTCACACCCTATTAAATAAAATTATCGTCGGGCAAAATAAACCGTGTTTTGACCACAAATGCGATAAGGTCCTGTGTAGTAATACACGTAATAATTTCTACATGATGAATTTGGGAGTTCCATTCGGCTTTCGAGAGAATGACTTGAAAACGAATTAATAAACATCCTGATGGATTTCGTAGTATCGGCTACAAAGCCAATGGACAAATAGTAAAATTATCTTTGACACATTTTTGTAATAACCTTATGTGCATTTGTCTAGCAAAATGAAAGGAAATCCAGAACTCACAGGATCCCTATTCAACTAGCAAGACGCCGGCTGCATCAGATTTATATAAATTCTGATTGGGAACTTTTTAATGTGTTTTGGCGTTATTTTTCACTGGTCGTGCAGTGGCCTGAAAGCTTGGCAGTAGGTACATCTGATAAGACGCACAATTTTGTTCGTGTTATCCCATTTTTTGCGCTTAGCGCCAACCACAGTTCCTACTTTTACAAGATGGTCTTGACCGCAAAAGTTACTTTTCCGTGATCAAATTAGCGTCACCTGTCTCATCTCCTTCCTACCCAAAACAGCGCTGTAACTTTTTGCCTTCACTAGACTTCAGATAATCTTGCGGTTGCCAGTTTTGGGAGATATTTGACGTGCAATTCTTATGCGTGGAAAAACATCCACGGGACGTATTTGATGAAATTAAGCTATTCGTTGTACCCGGGAGCACATTCTGGGTTATGAACAAGGCTAAAAGAGGACACGAGCGCTAGACAACTGTAACGAATGAATGTGGGGATTGGTCACTTGCAGTATTTCATAAATTTAATAAAACGTTTTGTTAAAACTAAATTTCGTCAATTTTAGTTGTCCACGAATGAAACATCCAAGTGCGGATCCCATTGAGGCATATGGTCGATGAGTATTCGATAAAAGGTAGTTAGCCAGTGACGATATTTATGAAGTAAGGGATGCCTAATGAAATAGTAACACATGGTTAAATAAAGAAAAATACCAGCGCAGTAAAGCAGAAAATCATAAGTGGACATGTTACCAAGTAACTTTCTACTACAGTGATAGCATCTTATTAAAAGAATCCCAAAAAAAGAGCCTGAAAATCTCAGATAAAGCTGGTTATTTGGATTTTGATATTGGCAAATAGAGATCACGCTGTCATTTAATGTAATCAAGCACAAAGGAGCGGAACAACCGATCCAGTGGATTCCATTCACTGCTGACGATATTACCATTTCTCTCCTGTTAATTACCACGTGGTTCCTATCAAGAAACGAACGGTCTTAATGTCCTACTTAAATACATTTCATCTTAACCACAAATTGTCACTGGGGTGAATGCAATTTCTAAAAATTACATTCCCTCATGTGATTAACGCATAAAAATTACTTTTGGAGGAAAATTAAGTCAAACTACATTTTGCTTTATCGCCCACAGTCGTACATTTAGGAATACTAAATGTTAAGGGAATTTGCAGAAATAGGTATTTCAGTTTTAAATCCGATTTAAAAGCATGTTATTTGAAATGGTTAGCTCGTCTTAAAAAGGATGAAAGGAAGGGTTTGCGCACTTGATGTTTCGGCTTCACAGCCTCTGTGTTTGTAGAAATTGCATCAACTTAAAAATACACGCAAACGGCCAAAAATAATGGTGCGATTTGCAGTCCCTCTAACGCTATGAATACAGCTGTCGGTGATTTGGCATTGGAACGAAGAACGTCATTCTTAAATTTTGCCACCCATTTATCATTCCCAACTACGTCCACGGAGTTTCATAATAGTTCACTAAATGTAATGTATTTGATCTTAACACCTCTCGATTTTGAGACCAACTTAACATTTCTACCAAAATTATTTTAAAAGTCATTACAAATTCTCTGCCTACTAACTACATGAACATGCATAAAACTCAAAAAATCGAGTAATTAGGTGTAATTTTAGCACCATCATGGTCTTAGTTGTTCCGATTTGACTACGGGTTTTCGAAGACAACTCAGTCGGTAAAATTTTTTCTAATAAGTTTGTTTAAAATTATGTTTATATGCAAGTGTTTTCGCAAATTACAATAATAGAGCTGTACCACCTTAAATCAGCACAAGCTTTACCTTTTTCAACTTTTTAGCCTTCATTGCAAGGGAGACGGTATTCTTAACAGAATAGATTAGGGATCTTTTTTGACTGAAAATGCTTAGACAATTGAGGTTTGGCAAGAAGCTTCTCCAAATTGGAGTGTTTATTGAAAAATATTGCCAGTCAGTGCCTAGTATTTTCAATAAAATTGCTTTTTCTGTTGAACCGTTCTAGTTGTTGGGGGAAAATACGTTTTAGTGGACCAGGATTAGGTTGTAAAGAGATTGCTTATGAAAAATGCCAGTGGGTCCGGTGCTTACGCATCTGTAAGAGGCATTACAGTGCATTCAATTCAGCATGGATTGGTGTACTTTTAAGAGCAATGGAGTTTTAAATGGATTAAATGTTTCCACTTCACAGCTTCAATATTACACAAGCTGGTTTAATTCAGGGTTTTAGAGTACAATAAAGA